TCTAAGCTTTTTTAAAAATGAATCAGATTAAAAAACAACTTATTGACAACTGTTGGAATGAATTATGATTAAATTTCAGTTCAAATTTAATGGAAATGTGTGGAAAAGTGTCTAAAGTGGCTGGCTCATTACCCATTGCAAAATCGCACCTTAACACTTTTGTATTCCGCTATTTGGCCTTAGCAAAAAACATTACCCATGCAAACATATACATTTTCAGACCGACCATTACGGTGAATACAAATATTGAAGGGATGCCAATGTGCAACATTCCCAATGGGCAACAATGGCCACTATCACCTTCCTGTTCTTTTGGCACGACTATTACGCATACGCCACGTAGCCAATACAAATGCAAATATTATACCATTATTGCGCATGAAAAGCCAACGCAAACAATAATAAACATCAAGACGAAGGCGAAGGAAAAGCCAATAAACAATAAGACAAATGCGGCCACCCAAAAATAAAGATGAAGAAAGAAAAGAAACTGGGTATCCGAAGTTCAAAGTTGGCCAAAAGAAATTGCGCGGTCAGCTTAGCAGTCGCAGTCGGCGCTGCTCATTAGCTAAAACCAAAGTCCCATTGTGACCAGCTCGTTAACTTGGATGGGGGAAACCGGTCAGGAAAAGGGGGAGTGGAACTGAAGCATGGTTTTATGGCCGAACTAACCTCTTACATAATGATGGGAAAATCTTTATGCTTGCGCCTGATAAGAAATGCGGCTCACATTAAACCACAGCACTGAACCAAGGCGAAATAAAGGGGGAAAAACAGATAGACAGAGCGAGATCATTTTATGGCTCATTAAATGGTTTTAAATAAATTAATGAATTTACAAATAAAGCAACGGCAAATGCCGCAATGAAATTCAAATAAAGGCAACCAAAATCGAAAAAAAAAACAAATTAAATTTAAATGATGAAAATAACAAATTAAATTTCAATTGAAGTAGTCTTCAAGGGCGTACAAATTTATAAACATTAAAGTAAATACTAATGGGCTGTGAAATCAAGAATGTATATACCTTTAGAAAATTAAAAAATACATTTAACGCATTAAGAGTCAAACAAGTATCATTAAAACGATTTTAAAATCATATTAGGCATTCAATTGTATTTGCTTAAAGTAAATACAAATAACACAAATTGATTAAGAAACTGAAAGATTTATGAATACATTTAACCTACAACTTAAAATAAATATCTCTTATATAAATAATTTGAAGAGCACATTTTGAACTTGTTTTCTTTAAAACTTTGTTCTTTCGACATCAAAGTTGGTTGGGCCAAGAATTTTCAATTAAGTCAAAGACCACACACACCATCTTCAAACGTTTGCCCAAACCTACATTGCCCCACTTTCCGATGACTTTAAAACTTTCAGTGCTAACCAAAGAAATTCAATTTCCAATGAGTTTTCTAGCTTAACGTGGGTTTTCCCTCTCAAGTACTTTCCATCGTGGCCAATGCATAATTCAGAACACTTATTCGAGGGGCCACAAAATAAACAAAGATGACGCTGCGAATATTGAAGACCACACACACTCATGCTGCGGAGAAGATTGATAGGGGTGGGTCATCGGGTTTGACCCCAACTTTTTGCATATGAGATCAACCTTTTTGTGACCTTTTTGCTGCAAGCTCAAGCATCAGCCCATCGATTTTCGATTAAATCTAATTGACATGACGGGCCACGCCCACTTCCGTCCTGTCTGCCTGTTTTTCCTGTCAAGCTTGAATTCCTTCTTTTGGCTGCTCATTTCCACTGACCATTTTCAATTTCCATTTGACACGCTTTTGAATTTTCAGCAAGTCCTGCCCTTGTTTTTGCCTGGTTCTTTGCGTAAATTGTTGTACATAATTTATGCCATTCATCGTTGTCGGTTTAATTTTTTTTGGTTGGCGAAATTGTTTTGTAGCTCATTTTAAGCCCCAGACTGATGCCTTGTCATTAATTTCGAGCTAATCTCAATCAGTCAAACGCTGCGGGGAAAATTCACTTGAGTTGTAACCGTGCTAACCATTCCCATCCATAACCCAGCTGTGAACTCTTATCGGGATTTGAGTGACAAGGCTCATTTTGGTTTTTTGGGGGCATTTCCGCTACTGGGAAATTGAATTTTGTAGATAAAATTGGGAAATTAACAATAAAAAGGTTTAATTGGAATTGGTTTAATTAGGTTAGCAAGAGCTTTTTAGTTGGATTTATCATATCCGGACAATCGAAGTAATTACCAACAACTTGAGCATGTGTTTTTAGCGCACAAGAAAAGTATTTTTTTTTTGGAAATGGCTTTAAATATTTAAGGCAATTCGCATAATTAATGAGATAATTGACTTTTCCGAAAAGTGTTATTATTTCATATAAAAATTCTAAAAATATATCAGTAAACAATTACTGAAAATATTTCCAACATTTCATAGTTCACAGAACATTTATCAAAATAGCATACTTTCCAACATTTTTTAAAGCCAAAATGAACAAGAATCATTTTCATTTCCTTTTTATTTTAAGTACTTTTTCCGCATGACAATTCAGAAATTTGTTGATGTACTTTTCAAATAAAAATGCACTTAGTGGGAAGTTGGGGGGGTAGTTAGGTAGTGTTTGCTTTGCTTATCAACACTTCATGTCCCGCCCCCTACTCAATTTTCTGCCCCTCCAGGGAAAACTTCTACATGCTTGTAATCTTTTTTTGTTGTTTTGGTTTCCCTCTATTCGTTTTATTATTTTAAGCGCAAATATTGATTTCCTTCTTTTGTGTTGGCTTCCCCGAGTTTTCCAGTGTTATAAATGCAATACAAACGACAAAAAGTTTGATAAGTTTTTTTTGTGTTTCTGGGGTGGTGGCATGCCCCATATGTTGGTTATAGTTTTGGTTGAGGGACACCAAGTGCACTTAACGATATGATAAGAAATGATCGACCAACAGAGCTGACCCAAATATAGAATGGAATAGCTGATATAGTGTAGATGAGTTATGTACTCGTTATATATTTAGTGGGCAACAGTGAATGCTCAATTAAATGGCCAAGTGTTCAATTGGTGGCATTAAAGTTGGCTCATTACAGTGAATGGGTTCGTGTGCTTCACACGATGAATATTAATCATTAATTTTTATGTCTCTGCCAGCAGGACAAAGCAAATTAATTAAATTATAGCAATTCCTCAACATTTATGCTGTAATTGATGTTGGTGCTCTACCATGTGAACTGGCTGCGGCTCATAACAAAAGGCCACAGCTTATTGGCCTATATAAAATGCCAGTGCCATGCCAAGGCATAAACAAAAGGCAGAAATGATTAATAAACTGAAGCCAAAAAGGGGGCGGTGCAGCTCAGCTGGTGTGTGGAATACAGATGAAGTGACATAATTTAAAAGCTGGAGGTGGGGCCGAAGAAGCCTTTGAGAACTTTTTGTGTGAACTTATTCGTCGCGTACATGGGGCAAAAGTAATCAACTGCCACCAGACAGAAGAACGAACCGATTCTTTATGACAAGAAAAAAGTTTAAAAGGTTCAGTTCGCATGAGAGCCACTTTCAAAGTTCCCAAAGCTTATGTTTAATCAACAGGATGGAAAACTGCGGGCTAACTTTTACTTAAAATGAATCCGCCAATGTCGATGGGGTTCAATTGACAAAGTTAATTTCTTTGAATATACTTTTCGTTGAAATCAGTTATTTAACAAACAACAATTTCTAAAATTTCACTGAAATTTTTCCTATTTATAAATAACTTGTGGAAGAAAATAAACAAAAATTCTAAACATATGATTTTACACAAATACATATGTAGCTGCATATTATATAATAATTGAGAGTAAAAAAAAATATAGCAAATTGTTAAAGAGGAGACTCGAAGTTCTCTAACATATTTAGAATATGCATGTACCTTAAATAATTAATAAATAGGGATTAAGTGTACATAAATACTAACAAAAATATGTACCCACTGAATGAATTTAAAAATAAAGATGACCTAGGAATAGGGTCTCACATCACAAGCATCTCAAAAAACCATTAATTGCGATTTGCTAAAAGTTAATAAAAACAACCTATTAAAAATATTTATTTATATGTTAGCTTGTAGGTATGCGATCATGAACCTATTCATCAATATAATAATGTCTACCCTTATTCAAGCTCAAGTAAATCAATTTCCCATCTTAAGCTTAAATTAAGAGATAGATTTTCCTCTCATGTTGGGGTCCTCTTCATATGCAGATGTCCTTTGCCGATAAAAAAAACGAGACCCTTATAGGATAATCTGGTTTTGGGCAGGAAACACACAAGTCGCAAAGCCTTCGTTCATATCGGAATTTATGCGAAGGAACTCGTGGTGGAAATGGAAATGGGGCAGCCATAAAACCAAATGAAAAACGAGTCGAGATTTACGCTTGAAAGGAAAAACGCAAAAAACTAAAAAAAAATACAAAAAACTTTTAGGTGTGATTACGTAAAATGCGTAAAAAGAACGAAAGAGAAAGGGAGAGTCGTCGATGAGAAAGAGAGAGTCGTAGGAACCACTTGACGCATTTCAAGGACACGTGCAGCCTACGCAAGGACATACGCAGCATAAAAGAGTGGCGCGTTACACAACACTAAATAGTAACGGTAAAAAAAACTTACCGTAATATGCAAGTTGGCAGCTCCTTTTCTGGTGGCTGCCTATTAGATTTTGATCCTTTTTTATTCAGCTAAGTAGGCCTTGGCTGAAATGCTGTCGACAATGGGCAGTAACCAGAACACAGATATTTTTTGATGTTGACAAGCTGCTAACAAATTTTCCGTTCTCAACCAGTCTTGTTGTTTTAAGGGATTTTTTAGCTCGAAAACTTGTACGATTTGTGTTTCCTCCACGGACGTTAAACGCGTAGTACTCGATCGTTGCAACGGTAGAAATAATCGGGAGCCAAGAGATTCCGAACGCCGCGAACTCAGCTGATTGAATGAAAACTGAAAAACGGAAAACTGAGAACAGAAAACAGCAGCACCACCATTCGCCTCAAAGCAGCGCTCTTTGAGAGAGCGAGAGCGAAAGAGGCAGAGCTCCAAATAGTGGGAGGCAGAGCAACAAGCAGCGGAAGAGCGAGAGAGAAGAGTCCAGCAGGTAAGCTTGTTGCATTGTTGGTGCCCATTACACAGGTATAAAACTTACTAAAAGTGATTGTTTTTTAAAATATTAATAAATTTATTTTTATATAACAATTTTTTTAATTCCTTAGGTGTTTTTTAAACTTACGATTTGTTAATGGCGACCGCAATCACTAGTACTCTTCTTTTAATTTTACAAATATTTAATATTTCTCCAGCGAAAGTTAATAAAAATCGGTCTTGGCAGTTCGTAACTAAAATTTCCCAAATAAGCAATCCTTAATCCAAAATAAACTTAGAATAGGCATCACCCCCCTTTTTATGCTGCATTACCTATCTTTCTCTCATTGGGACATATCCATTGATGCAACGACGTCAGCAGGGCAGTCGCGTTTTTAAATGCCTTTTTAGCAATATTTCATTCACATATTCCCAGAGCTGCTCTCTTTATTTCTCTGTGAGACTGCTCTCTCCACTCTCTCTTGCCCCATGGCTTCTCTCAGCATAAAATGCAAAAGCCAACTAGCGGTGTTGTTATTGAGGCTTATGTAACTTTCGGGCATCCGCAGGCACTGAGAGCAGAAAGCGTTGAAGGGCAGTCAGCGACCTCGTTCTAGAAAAGAAGCCATCTCTCCAGCCCCCACCACCCCCTGAAAAGAAAGCCCCCGAAAGAAGAAGCAGCAACAGCAGTGAAAAGCGCGTAGTATAAACATGCTGTAACATATACAGTACTACTTCCTTAACCAAAACTATCATTTGAGACAATTTTTATATAATGCAGATCCTTTATAGATTTTCCAATTTCCCCAAATCGCGTTTATAAAAACTTTCCGATTTATAGGGTCTAAATTATCTTTATTAATTAAACAATTCGATTTTAGTAAATATTTAAAATTACAATATATTTATTTTACTTTACACATTTGGCCGGAAACTACGTAAAAATATTAAATTGAACAATTTACAATGTTTGTCATTTTTTTATGCCAGTAACTTACAGTATAATGAAGTTCACGTTATAAAAGTATTACTGCGCAATCAAAAAGAAAGGGGAACGAGAAAGAAATGTAGGGTTTTTGCCATGCAGGGCAGGCAAACCAGAAATGTCTGCTTTTGGGGTTGTGGAGGTGGTTCTTTATGGGTATAGCTCGAAGGGTGTGGGGCTTGGCGGGAATATCAAAGTCATGCCAAATTGCGCAACAGCCAAAGCGTTGTTCTTGGTAACCCGCTGACCGAGGATTTAGAAGAGATGGGGGAGAACTAGGCTAAATAGCTAAACTCGAATTCCAGTGGTCAAGTCTGAAGTACTCAGGGAAATTATTATTAAATAATATGCAGTAGCTATGGTTACAATATAAATTAGTGTTTCATTTTGAACTTAATTAAAGGTTCAGCTTTATACTATTCTTTCCATTTTTTTTGCTCACTTATCGGACTTTGGTTTTTTTACATAGCAATATCCGCATTTCCCTGGCAATATCCGCTCGCACTTACAAATTCAATATCCGCGAACTTTTTGTCGTATCCCCTTTCGTTTGCAGAATATCCTTTGTGTCCTGTTCACAACACTCTTTATAAACCCCATTTGCAGAGCAACCTTTCACCTTTTTATGGACTTCCGCAGCAATAGATCTAGTAAACAATAATGTCTCCACTCCCCACCCTTTTCTCTGGGCATCCTTTTCGCACCAGCACAGTTTGCCGGATCCGTTCAAGCGTAATTTAATTTTGTGCGCCATTTATTTATAGTGGTCGGGCAAAGGAACTCGAGCCACCAACCAGGATAGTTTTGCCTGTGGGTAAATTATGGTTCCAGGACAAATTAGGTTAGGTCACATGGCCAGAATGGTCCGATGAGGATATAGATGGAAATGTGCTGGATGCAGAGTTGATACACCTTCTGCCGCCAAAGTTCCTCCTGGAAAATGTCACATGTGACACTTGCCAGAAAAAGTATTTACCACATATATAAATTATATTTTTCAAAAATTATGTTTATACAGACTGTAAGCTGCAAATTTCATTCTTTTCCTAAAAATAGAGAAGATATTTGTTGTTAAAAATGGGTGTTGATTTTTTAATCATACCCAGTGATGAACGGTACTGAAAGGTACTTAAAGATTGTATTTACATTTTTACACTTATCAGTAAAAAGACAAAAAACAATTTATTAAATCTTTAACATGTGCAGTTCTGGGCGACTAGAATTATTACAATTAATACTTTTAAACGAATTGTAACACGTACATTGTACAGGTCTATAAAAGTGGCCTAAAAACATTGTAATATTTGTACCTATTGTTTAAAATGACCATTTGTAAAATATCTGACATGTTTTTCGACTACTAGTAAAGCAACCCCAGCCGCAGATAGTAAAATGTAGTTGTCCAAAAAATATAATTTCCGTACGCACCGTTATATATCCCTGGCTCCCTCTCGCTTCTTCTTTATTTATCTCTGTTTTGTTTTTTTGGTTTTGTTATGCGGTGGCATCTGTTTTTGCCACAAAAACAAGAAGAGAGTGCGTAAAATGCGTTTTAATTGAAAGGAAATGTTCAAAGCACATGTGCAGCTGCTAGTCGACAAGGGGAGGGCTGGGGAAAAAGGGGGTGGCAGGGCGGCCTGTGTCTGCTAATTGAATTACCTTTCGGTTGCTTTTCCCATTAGAAGTGCCGCCAAGTTCTCGAGCTGCTTGTTTGCTTTTCATTTAATACTCATTTTGATTCAATTTTTGTTTTTCTTATTTTTCTGACCCAATTTCATTTTGCTTTCGTGCATTTTCAGCTGTCTCCGTCTAACATTATGCAGCCAAGAGAGTGGCAGAGAGATTCGCTTTCGCTCTTTTGCAGGTGGGGAGGACTTGCACTTTTCAAACGGTTTCTTTCCAGGACACTACCATTTTAAATGCATATACATATATGTGTACATATGTACACGATGGCGATCCAAATGTAAAAGAAAATATCAAATATTAGGGACTGGGTATTCCAAGTTTATCACTTATACGAACTGTTGCCTTTGATCAAAATATGTATTCCAACTGACGTTTCATTTCATTAGTTGCCATTTAATGCACTTAAATCTATTATTGTACACAATAATATTATATACATGTTGTTTGTAACTTTGTTAAACACCTGCAGAGGGTATTATAATTTCAGTCAAAAGTTTGCAACGCAATGAAGTATAAAATATATATGTCGGAGAGCTGGTACATGTTCTCTGTAGGTCAGTGTGTGTTCGCTGCGTAGGTGCATTTCCTAGAACGTCATTTAAAGTAGGCGACGCATTGGCGAGACATATTTTGGAACTTTGGATTGTAAATGCGCAGTTAACGGGAAAGAAGCATAGTAGCGGAAATTGAGTGTCTGCTACTGAGTGAGGTCTGATCGTATGTCGCGAACTGAGTGAGAACAGAGGCAGGAGCAAAGAAGGAATTGATAAAATTGAGCTCTGCGTTCTCGGAGGTCAGTTCGGTTTGCGGCATAGAGACGAGCAGAACTTGCTGTGCTTTAAAGAATAAATAAAAATGAATCCGTCACTAGAGGAGCCCCCGACATCAGAAGTGGGATCTGCTTTGCCTACTGATTGTGCCACCGATCCGTATTTGTCAGCGTTGGAGCTGCAAAACCGCAACCTACTGGAAATCATCAAAAACATGCAGACACCATGACTGGACCGAAGGATCGGTCAAGTGTTAAGTGCTTCAAGTGTGACGAAATAGGACATTTTGCATCTGCTTGTCCAAAAGGCCGAACGTATGAGAAGCGGGTAGATATCTGCACAGTAGCTCCACCGTCTGGAATAATAAGGGCATCCGGTGAGTCTATTCCATTTTGCTTTGATTCGGGTGCTGAATGCTCTTTAGTGAAGGAAAGCGCCGTGGATAAATTTAAGGGAAAAAGAATAAATAACATTGTAAAACTTAACGGTATAAGTAATGATGCCATTCGTAGTACTCAGCAAGTATTATGTAATATAAATATTGAACAATACTGCTTTGAAATTTTGTTACACGTAATTATGGATAAGTATCTGAAATACGATGTGTTGGTTGGTCGTGAAATCCTTAGCCAGGGCTTTGGAGTAACAATAGACGCCGACAAATTCCAAATTTACAAAACAAAAAGGGTAAATGTTTTGACTGTAACTGATTTCAAAGATATTATAAATGCTGATATTGATTTAGTCGAATCCGATAAAATGGCCTTAACAAATATCCTAAAGTGTTACTCTGATTGGTTTATCAGCGGTATTCCAAAAACTCGAGTCTCGACAGGGCAGTTAGAAATTAATTTAATAGATCCACTAAAGACAGTGCAACGACGTCCTTACAGGCTAAGCGAGGAAGAAAAAAATCATGTGCGCTGTAAAATTGATGAATTATTGAAAGCAAATATTATTCGTCCAAGTTGCTCACCTTTCGCCAGCCCTATGATGTTGGTAAAGGAGAAAAACGGCACTTATCGTCTTTGTGTGGACTATAGGATATTAAATGAGAATACCGTTGCTGATAGGTATCCTTTGCCTCTTATCGCAGACCAGATTGCCAGCGCAATTGGCTATGGTGCCATTTTGGTTCATAGAATCGACAAAAAGCCTCATGTTGTTGAATATTTCAGTAAATGCACGTCACCTGCTGAATCAAAATACCACTCATATGAGCTTGAGACTTTGGCAGTCGTCAACGCCATTAAACATTTTCGTCATTATTTACAGGGGCGTAAATTTGTTGTATTTACAGATTGCAATTCGCTAAAAGCTAGTCGAACAAAATCGGACCTTTCACCAAGGGTGCATCGATGGTGGGCTTTTCTACAGTCGTTTGATTTTGACATTCAGTACACGAAAGGTGAAAGAATGGCACACGTAGATTTTTTTATCAAGGAATCCGATGATTAAAGAATGCAAGAGCATAGAGAAAATTGTTGAAAAGCGAATTGAATTGACTGAGGTAACTGACAATTGGATAGTTTCTGAGCAACAGCGGGACCCTGAAATAGCTGATTTATTAGCTAAGCTTAAAAATAACGAATTGCCGGAAAATTTAGATAAAACTTATGAATTGAGAAAAGGCGTTTTATATCGAAAAATACAAAGGAACGGCAAAAACAAGTGTTTACCTGTAATACCTAGGGCATTTAGATGGGCAGTGATTAATCACGTCCACGAATCTATTATGCATTTAGGTTGGGAAAAAACCTTGGATAAGGTATATGGGTTTTATTGGTTTGAAAATATGTCGAAGTACGTTCGAAGGTTTGTCGAAAACTGCATTACCTGTAAACTAGCCAAGCCACCGGTTGGGAAAATTCAGGTGGAATTACATCCGATTAAGAAGGTCGAAATTCCGTGGCACACAGTGCACATTGATATTACTGCAAAGTTGAGTGGAAAGAACGACCTAAAGGAGTATGTAATTGTTTTGGTGGATGCGTTCACAAAATTTGTTTATTTTCATCATACCCTAAACATTGACACAGAAAGTTCCATTAAAGCCGTTAAAGCCGTCGTGTGTTTGTTTGGTGTGCCTACTCGAATTATAGCGGATCAGGGCCGTAACTTTGCCAGCTCAGGATTTCGTGATTTTTGTTCTTCCCAAAAAATTGAGCTTCACTTAATTGCAACGGGCGCGAGTAGGGCAAATGGCCAGGTTGAACGTATTATGAGCACACTTAAAAGTATGTTGACCGCTGTCGAAACAAGTCAGAGATCGTGGCAAGATGCATTGGCCGAAGTACAGTTGGCAATGAATTCCACAGCTAATCGAGTCACCAAGGTCAGCCCATAAGAAATGCTTATCGGTAGGGAAGCTAGACCTTTCGGCCTATTGCCAATAGGTGAAGAAGAGGATAATTTAATTAATAGAGAATCCGTAAGAAAACAAGCTAAGGAGAATATGGAAGTTAATGCTCGTTACGACAAACGTAGATTTGATAAGAACAAAGCAAAAATAATTAAATTTAACGTTGGAGACCATGTATTGTTGAGAAAGGAAGAGCGACACCAGACAAAACTTGACCCAAAACATAAAGGTCCGTTTGAAATCATTGAGTTACTAGATGAGTAAGAGAACATATAAGAGAACATATAAGTATGCGCATGAATTTTTGAGAGCATTGCCGAATAGGCAAATAAGTGAAGAAGTTGATGAAGAATTCGACGACTCAAAAGGAGCTGAGTCTGATTCCCAAGTGGGAAATGAAGATATGGATGGCACTGTAGGTGCTTTGGAATCCCAAGAGGGGATTTAATGACCGCACCATAACAGATGGACATGTTATGGCGGGGGTCAGTGGTGACCGCACCATAGCAGAAGGACTTGCTATGGCGGGGGTCGGTAATTTGGTGTGAATGAAAATGCACAAGTTGATAAAGTTCATAAGTTAGTATGAATTGTTAAATATGGTTAAAAAATAAAAGTAATGTAGAGAGTGTTAAAGAAACTACACTAATGTTATTGTAATGTGTTAAAGGAACTACACAAATGTTAAAAAGTGTTAAAGGAACTACACTAATGTTATATAGTAAGATGTGTTAAAGGAATTACACAATTGTTAAAATGTGCCAAAGGAAATGCACAAATGTTTTATTTTACAAAAGAGAATAATGTTATTAAAGAATAACTAAATGAATTAATGAGATTATGTTTAATTGAAGAAATGTTAATGAAATGTTTTAAAGAATAAAAATGAATAACAACTGACGTGTGAACATGGAGTGATTTAATGATAGCACACGAGGACGTGTGATTTGTCAGGAAGGCCGTGTCGGAGAGCTGGTACATGTTCTCTGTAGGTCAGTGTGTGTTCGCTGCGTAGGTGCATTTCCTAGAACGTCATTTAAAGTAGGCGACGCATTGGCGAGACATATTTTGGAACTTTGGATTGTAAATGCGCAGTTAACGGGAAAGAAGCATAGTAGCGGAAATTGAGTGTCTGCTACTGAGTGAGGTCTGATCGTATGTCGCGAACTGAGTGAGAACAGAGGCAGGAGCAAAGAAGGAATTGATAAAATTGAGCTCTGCGTTCTCGGAGGTCAGTTCGGTTTGCGGCATAGAGACGAGCAGAACTTGCTGTGCTTTAAAGAATAAATAAAAATGAATCCGTCACTAGAGGAGCCCCCGACATATATGTATATTCTTGATCAGCATCACCAGGAGAGTCGATCTAGCCATGTCCGTCCGTCCGGCTTGCTAAAGCTATCTTCCTTTCTTGTTTATAATAATGTTATGGGTTAATCCTCTAAAAAAAATGTGTTCTCATCTCAGCTTTCAGACATCCGATTTCAAAGTGGCATACTTCTAAATGACTGTGGTTCAATTCTATAAAAATCTGTGTACTCATCTTGGTTTGTATTTTTGGGTCGATTTTTCCTAATTTTCGGAAAATGGCTTTGCAGAAATGTGACCTAAAATCTGCACTTCTCAGCCCATAACTTTGGTTACAGACATCCGATTTTAAAAAGACATACTTCAAAATGATTGTGGTTTAATTCTCTAAAAATCTGTGTTTTCATTTTTTTTTTAATTTTGGGTCGATTTCGTCATTTTTATAGTGTTTCCCCTCAACATTTTTTTGAAAAATGGCTTTGCAGAAAAGTGACCAAAAACCTGCACTTCTAAGCCCATAACTTTTCTTACAGAAATCGAATTGCAAAGTGGCTTATTTAAATTTGATTGTAGCTTAATTCTCAAAAAATCGGGGTTTTCAGTACAGTTTTTATTTTGAATTATGAAATTAAATTTTTCTGTTTTTTAGGAAAACCTCTGAGAACGGTGTACTTTTTGAGTTTTATTTATTATAATAATAGTACATACTCAGTTAAATCCTTGATGCACTGCAGCCGTCAAAGTAAGATGGTATCGCTGTAAACCTTCCGCTCCTCAATCACACACATATATGATCTGGAATTCGAATTTATATAAATTATTAAGTTAATTTATAATAATATAATTTACGTACCTTAAGAGGTCCTTAATCCTACATCCTGGTGACAATCCAACTCAGATTGAATAACCATTAATCATCTGGATCCCCTCAAGAAGCACACACTCACAGTTTCTGACATCCAAGTGAACTTCTTTAAGAGCTGCCACAGCCCATAGGTCGTAATTTTTTGGCTAGAACTGTTTGGGAATTATAATTCCTAGGGAGAGTACAAATTTACCTTGAGGATGACGGGGCCAGTTTTACATTTTGTTAACATTACATTAGCATAGATGGATGTCATCTAACATTTGCCAAGTGGTATGTTGACTGTTAATTGTTAATTGGTTATTTATGATTGATTGTTGCTTGTTTATTGTTGATAGTTGATAATTAATTGTTAATTGTTGGCTGTTTGTTGGTAATTGTTGACTGTTGTATGTTGGATGTTGCATTTTACATGTAGAATGTGCATGTTGAATGTTTCATGTTGCGTGTTGCATGTTTCATGTTTCATGTTTCATGTTTCATGTTTCATGTTTCATGTTTCATGTTGCATGTTGCATGTTGCATGTTGCATGTTGCATGTTGCATGTTGCATGTTACATGTTACATGTTACATGTACAATGTTTCGTATTGAATGTTGCATGTATGTTGTATGTTCTATAATGTATATTTCTGCATGTTGCGTTTTTAATGTAGCATGTTACCTTTATTTTATTATTTATGTTGTATACAAATTTCTAGTCTTATTCATTTCAATTGAAAGCTTTGATATTCTGATCATCGATTTCAAAATATAGAATATTTAATTTCAGTGACAGCTGCAAGGGTATGTTAACTTGGGACTGCCAAAGTTTGCTTCCTTTCTTGTTTTTATCTAATTTTATTTAAAATAGTTTAAATATAAAAATTTGTAACTTTAAATACTACATAGCTTAAGATAACGAACAATTTTGAAAATGTATCCAATATGATTTTCTAATAAAAATAAGTATTATCAAAGTTCTCAACTTTTAGTAATTTTAAGTTTTTTGGTTAATTTTTTATACCCTTGCAGAGGGTATTATAATTTCAGTCAAAAGTTTGCAACGCAGTGAAGGAGACATTTCCGACCCTATAAAGTATATATATTCTTGATCAGCATCACCAGAAGAGTCGATCTAGCCATGTCCGTCTGTCCGTCTGTCCGTCCGTCTGTCCGTCCGTCTGTCCGTCTGTCCGTCCGTTTCTACGCAAACTAGTCCCTCAGTTTTAAAGCTATCTGCTTGAAACTTTCCCAAAAGTTGTCTTTCTATTGCAGGTAGTATATAAGTCGGAACGAGCCGGATCGGGCCACTATATCATATAGCTGCCATATAACTGAACGATCGGAAAAGCCATAACTTTGGTGTTTTTAAAGTTAGGAAGTTGGGATTTTCTATGGGTTTTATTTTTGGCTAATCAATCCGACCTACCAAATTTCATAAGGATCGGACGACTATATCCTATAGCCGCCATATAACTGATTGATCGGAAATGCCATAGCTTTGGTGTTTGTAAAGTTAGGAAGTTGGGATTTTCTATGGGTTTTATTTTTGGCCAATCAATCCGACCTACCAAATTTCATAAGGATCGGCCGACTATATCTTATAGCTGCCATATAACTGAACGATTGGAAATGACATAACTTTGGTGTTTTTAAAGTTAGGAAGTTGGGACATTTTATGAGTATTAAGAATACATCATATGAATAATTTTGGACAATATAATTTATAAAATATTCTGCAAGGGTATATCAACTTCGGCTCCGCCCGAAGTTAGCTTTCCTTTCTTGTTTAAACATAGTTTTATTAAAACGTGTTCCCTTCTCACCTTCGCAGGCTTCCAGGATGGGTTCTGGTGATGCGGAGAACGGCAAGAAGATCTTCGTGCAGAAGTGCGCCCAGTGTCACACCTACGAAGTGGGCGGCAAGCACAAGGTGGGCCCAAATCTGGGCGGAATCGTTGGTCGCAAGAGCGGCACTGCAGCTGGGTACAAGTACACCGAGGCCAACATGAAGAGAGCTGTCACCTGGACGGAGGGTAATCTGGACGAGTACCTCAAGGACCCGAAAAAGTACATCCCAGGCACAAAGATGGTTTTCGCTGGTCTCAAAAAGGCTGAAGAACGAGCCGATTTGATCGCCTTCCTCAAGACAAATAAGTAGATGAAAAATTCCTGTGAAACAACAAGATCGGCAACTACAACATCGGGAAGACGGCACCAAAGAAATTCAACCTAACATTTTCAACATATATTGTTGTTTGCAGCTTATCACATTTATCTTTAATTGGCAGAAACCCATGCCCAATGATAATTTGAAAAGGTTGACTTATACTTTTTTCAATTAAAGTTGAGGAAACTAACAAATTATTTTTGAATTGTTATTTGCGCGCCTACCAGGGCTGCATGGGAGTGCTATAGCACTCAGCTTTTACCAAATAAGGTCTTAAAACATATATTTTAGCCAGAATTTTCTGACAATGGTAAAAGAAAGTTTTTTTCGTAAGGTTCGCGGTTTTTATTCGCAAGAAATGTTTTTTTTTAAACTTATGGTTACGACTAGTGTTGAAAAACAACCGAACCTAATAGAACGGTTAGCGTTTTTTAATTTTTGAGCGCCGGTCACTCTGAATGGTACAATTACCTATGAACTAAACGCGCGGTCCCCATTCGTAAAAAATCAACGACGCACGACGTTTGTGTTCAATGTAAGTAGTGGGTGTATTTTTCGAATTTTCAAGTGACGTAAATATTACCTTGAATAGTTATTGATTAGTGCGACCCAGACAAATAATAATGAAAAACGCTTCCGTGTAGTTTTTGTTGTTTAATTTCCAGTCGTAATTTACTGTGAAAATTATTTCGATGCGAATAAATATTTTTGGGGGATGATTCAGGTTACATAAACGTGTACTTGTGTGTGTGTATAATAGTGCGATTTTTGCCAGGTTTTTAAGTTTATTAGTAGAGTTTTCCAAAAGGAAAAATTAGCAATAAATTATCAATGGTAAAAATAGCATCCCAAAGTCACATTGCCATTGAAAAAAAGCCCCGGAGAGCGTTGATTACATGAGCAAAGAGAGTGATATACACGATCAGCTGTCTCGCTCGCTCTGTCTGGCGAAAAATATTTCAATTCTTGGAATCTTTTTGCTTGCTTTTGCTTTGGAGTTTCAAAGCGCGCCACGTGGTTGCTAAGCAGGTTTTGCTTTCAGTGCGTTTTTCTATATGGCAAAAATGAGATGATGGTACCTTTGCAAGGAGGTGGCTTATGTAACATTCGCTTTTCAAAGGAAATTGGCCCAATTTTCACTCATCTCTTTTATTGTCTCTTTCACGCACACATATACAGTTGCCTTTGGCCTGCTTCCAATTTTCCAATTGCACTTTCTCTTCCTCTCCCACGCACGAAAACTTAATGAAAAATTCTCCCCAAGGCCAAATCAGATGTTGACATTGTTGTTGCTTTGACATCACTCACTCTCTAGGTGCATGTTGGGTGCACAGAAAAAAAAACTTATGTGATGTAATGAACAGTTAATGATTTAACATTTATATATATATTTTAGTTTAATTTAATATGTAGAAATCAGGAAGATATTTTTTAGTATTAAAATATTAAAACCAAATTTGAAATTAAATATGAATGAAACCGGAAAATTCTTGGCCAAGCCAATTGGATCCCACAAATAAGTCGATCTATGCATATTATTTGAACAACAAAGTTAAAATTAAATAAATGTTTGAGCTTTGCATATCATTTTTTATATAGACCCTCATTTTTGTCAGTGTAGGCTACTTACTCATTGCAACGGCCTTTGCACTCTCTCAAGTTCAAAAAGCTGCATGCAACTTAACAATTAACAAGTTGACCATAACACAGACCCTGGGAATAATTGTAGTTATATAAACAGCTATCGTTTTTTTCATACGATGCTTCCTGGAGTTCTTTTTGACCTGTTGCTGAGCGGTTCTGACGCAATAATTCGAATAGGAAATATTTCAGTGGGGAAGAGAGCGGAAGAGTGGGGTCAACACATGTGACTATCGTCTGAAGCTTTTTTTTTGCAAGCTTGAGTGTTTGATGACGTTGCCCTCCTCGCGCGTGAAAAAAGTGTGTAGGTTTAATGTGCGTGAAAATGGGAATGCAGAAAGAGTTAGATAATGAAATAGTGTTCTAAATTGGGCCTTATCACATCCAACAGCAGACTAATGCACTTAGCACGAGCGATTTTAATAATTCCGTTTCCGCAGCAAGCTTATCAGTTGTTTACATAATGGGCCAAGGGAACAAATATTTTTTCATGGCACATAATATAGTTTTTAATAACCAAGTTTTGTGACAACTTGCCTTACTTCTAGATTTAAGTTTGCATTTATGGAGGACTTGAGTCTAAAGTTAATATACTTATTTTTGAGCAAACCGCATTATCAGATTTAATAAATTCGTTCTAAGTAATTATCAAATCAGTAAATATTGATTACGAAAAATGTTGAACCTTGGAACCTGTTTAGGTGACAATAGCGTTAGAAACGAAAAATGTAAAGTTTTCCTTTAATTTTGATCATTAATTAATTTTCTAATTTTCTTTACAGTCGAGTCCGTGTTAACACATAAATCAATCACCTAATCCACAATGGGCGTTCCTGCTGGCGATGTTGAGAAGGGCAAGAAACTGTTTGTGCAGCGCTGCGCCCAGTGCCACACCGTGGAGGCTGGTGGCAAGCACAAGGTTGGACCCAATCTGCACGGTCTGATCGGTCGCAAGACCGGACAGGCGGCCGGATTCGCGTACACGGACGCCAACAAGGCCAAGGGCATCACCTGGAACGAGGACACCCTGTTCGAGTACCTGGAGAACCCCAAAAAGTACATCCCCGGCACCAAGATGATTTTCGCCGGCCTGAAGAAGCCCAACGAGCGCGGCGATCTGATCGCCTACCTGAAGTCGGCCACCAAGTAAAGGTGCTGTCCATCAACTCACCAACCACTGCAGGATGTCTAACTGTATTATTGTGTTCAGTCACAGTCCGGCAAACAATCGCAGCAGCAGAAACAACTACAAATCAACAAAGTACAGACCTAAAAACTACAATTATGTTAATTATAAAGCTTAAATAGGACAATTTATTATTTAATTTAAATAAAAAGTGGAATATTTAATTTAAACCCGATGAGAATTGTGTCAGCCACAAGAAACCGTTAAATAATAACAAAAAACAACTAAAAATAATTATAAATTTGTTTTGTTATGGGAGAAATCAATCAGAAACAAATGTTTTCCCTAAAAAATTGGGTTACCCAAAAAACTGCACTATGTAGCAATAACATTTTTAGAGCAAAGGTTACTTAAGATATCTTCGATCACCTGCTCTTAAATCAAAGCTTTAAAGCTGCATTCTAAGAGGTTTCTTCTGATGGGGACTTCCCAGCTCTTACTCATGCAAAATTATCGAGGAAGAGAATTATAAACAAAAAGTATTCTCTGAATGGGTCTCGTCATACTATTAAGAGAGATAATTACTACTACATCACGTGACTTCGCTAAATAGTATTTAAAAGAGAGTCTAATAAGAGATTACGTTACTGAACTCTGAAACCGTCATAAAGGAGCTCCTAATCAAAAATTGCGTCACATTAAGATAGCCATTTTTAAAGAGAGAGTTTTATATCGCCTACAAAAAGTAAATAACTCTCTTAAATCACACACCAATTGTTAACCATAAACATACAGTAGGTTTAGAATAATTTTGACTAATTTATGTATATTTTCTTTATACTCGCAAAACTTTATCATACACTTTAATAACAACTTTATTATGCAATACATATTTTTCATTTCAATTATGCTTATTTGATTTAGTTTTAAATGAAAGAAATACTTGATAGGTTTATACAATATATTTTTGTTTTCTTTAGTTTTGTTTTTTGTTTAGTTGTGGGTGCGCTGACGCGATTATAATACATAAGAAGTGCATATCATCTGGTTTAGAAAAACTCTGTACAGCGGCGCACACATAAAATTAAGAACACAAATAATAATAACAACAAAATATAAACAATCGATTTGAATGGAACAATCGTAGAGGATAGCTGTTTGTATTTGCTCTGCCATTACAGTGAATTGCTTTTTTGGAATGCCAACAAAAAATCGAATTGTTCTTTCAATACGTTCTATGGACTGAGGGCGTAATGGGTGTAAACGGAGGTATGGGCTAAACAAGAACTTAGTTTAAAAAGGGAACAAACATGCACTTAAAAGTAGCAAGAACAAACATCATTGTAAGTATGGTGGAGAAGTGGAGGATCAGGTTGGATTTATAGATGCCTCCACAGCTCTTATTGTTAGTTAAGGTCTCAGGCTGGCGGCCTGGCTAAAATATTTGTTGTGTGCCTGTGCATGGATGACTGATTGATTGGACCCCTTAGGCCTTGCCAGAGATGGGGGCGGCACCTTGTTTCTGGTTCTCGTTTTCCTTTTCCAGCTGCTTGCCCAGGTATTCCCTGATAAGAACAAAGAGAGAAACAAACGCACATTGAATACCGGAGAATTTTTATGATAATCGTGGTCAAGAATTGTAAAGGAATGATATGAGGATCACAGCACCTGTATGTGGACATGAGGGAGGCATGAGAGGATGGGTATTCGAAATCCATACTAACCAGTTGTGTACCATCAGCTTCTGCACGGCCAGCAGGGCTTCGTACCGGACATTGGGATCCTCGTGACCAAGATGCTGCATTACGATCTGTTTACCACCCAGCTGCTCCAGCACACTAAAGAATAGAAATTTATAAATATTTGAATTATATTAGAAAGTGAAATGGGAATTCGCTATGTTTTGGGGTGGGTTGCGAAGGCAGTTTTTCAATTAAAACCAATACAGACTTTAATCAGTTGAGAATTGAGAATTTAGATCAGAAAAACTACTGGTTTTTAATTTTCCACCTTAAAAAGCGAACGTTTAAAATATCTACAGTTTATACTCACTGCTTGCCGCGGGGATAGTGACGCACATATTCTCCGATGTCGAAGCAGGCGACAGAGAGGATGATGGCGTCCTTGGAGGTCTCCAGCAGGTGGACGAGGATGCGCAGCAGCTCGTAGTTCTTCTCGTTGAGGCGTTGGGCATTCTCGCGCCAGAACTTGGCCGACTTGTGGACAGGCGACCATTCCAAGCGACCGCTGCGCACCTCAGTGGCGTACTCATCGAAGGAGCTCAGGTCCTGCACCGAGTTCTGCAGCTTCTCGCTGAGGTACTCCACATCGGCGGTAATGTCCTCGTCGTCGAAGCGACGCTGCTCGAAAATGGATAGCTGCTTCAGCACCTTGCACTGGACCATGGCGATGCAATGGTCCTTGGCCACCGATGAATCCTCCGGCTTCTCGATCAGATTGCGGAAGACCGCGAGGATGATGCGGGTCACCTTCTCCTTGGCACAATCGCTGAGGATATCAGCCAGGATGGGGATCACGCTGAACTTGTTCATCTTGGCGGCCAGCAGGGGATTGAAGGTCAGCACCCATAGGCAGAAGATCAACTGGTATTGCACCTATGAATAAGAAATCGAATTTAAATTGTACCAAACAATTTACACATTTCAATTTCAAACTCACCTGGAAGTTAACACGAGTCGAGAGGATGCGGATCAGAGTGCTGATTCCGTCGACGCCCACAAAGGCGAATCGGTACTCATCCACGCGGAGCATCATCTGCAGGCACCGGGCCACCGATTGGATGTATTCGTTGTTCTATATTAACAATAAATATTCACATTAGTTTATCCTCGAATTTGACTATATTAGTCAATGGTTAGGTTTGTTAGTTATGGCGATATCAGCTGGAATCTATTTTTTGCTAGCTACAACAACGAATAGTACTAAAAGCTACGTAAAATAGGAAAAACAAAGTGAAAAAAGGAGTGGAAAACATTTATAGACAGTTGAAGATGCAACATCAATGGGGGTTCCAGCCTTATGCCATTGGTTTGTTTTAGTGTAATTTTGGTTTGATTTACGTGTAGTTTTAACCATCACCTGAACCTTTAATTACCGTTACACCACACTGACTTGTTTTTATTCATTGGATGACAACACTGGTTGCTAGGGCCCTCGCGCCGGATACTCCTGCTGTCTTTTTACGCACTATTAGTTGGGTTAGTAAACAGTTACGAAATAGACTAAGAAATAATACACAAACACACGGATCACAGTCGAAAGAGGTCGATTTTACACAAATATCGGAGATTCTTTCTAAAAAAAATTTAAGATTTTAAATTTTGAGCTTCCAACCTTAAAGCTTTTTGAAATTGTATGTTTTTTTTTAGAACTTTTTTTTATGTTTAAGAAGAAACGATGTGGAATCGTATATCTTAATTAAACTTATCGACTGTGTTCGCTTGTGTGCCCATAAATGTTTGATAGTTTATTCGTGTTCTTGTGTGTATTTGTGGGTGGGTAAGTGGATGTTTGATTGTTTCGGCGAGAGGATTGCTGCGATTTTGGTTTGTTGGGTTTAGTTTTTTGGAATACCGGTATCACACATTTGCCGTCCTGCTGCTGGTGATCACTGCTACCGCCCACCTCCCGATAGCTCTCGTTGGCCCTCTCGGCCAGCTCGTGCTGCTGCTGGAGCTGGGCCAGTGTGGGACTGTACTGGTGGCCATGGTTGTCTTTGTCTTTGCCATGCTGTCCATGCGTGTGCACAATGATCGTTTGTGTCCGCTTGGCCAGCAGGGCCATCTCTTGGAGATACGCTAAGCCCTAGGGTCGGATCAGAGGTCGTGGGTCGTAGGTTGTGGGGGTGGTTCATCCACAGACATCGATTCAATCGATTCATAGATGGTAAATTGCATATAAATTAAAATTGTTCACAGGGTTCAAGTGCAGCGGAACAGATAAATACGTTTGATGGACAAGAACACAAGGTAAATAACAAAATTATATTCTGGTGCTATGTTGTGAGACATGACACACGACTGCACGTGATGATCGGGAGGGGTGAGGTGGCGGAATATATATCCAGGATAATATACGGTTCGAATATGAAGTGACAAGATTCTGAGTGCTGATGTATGGCATAATGTAGTTACAAACTCAATAAATAGACTCCTCATTTGCTGAGATTTCACGAGTAGTTCACCAAGACGAGGTCAGTTTTGTTTGGTATCTAGACCTATACGAGGTCGGTTTTGTTTGGTTTTAATTAGATAAATTAATAAAGGTATATATATAGAAAGCAATACCGGCAAAGCATGCAAGCAGCTGATTATTAGGTTTGTTAGCTTTAAACAGAGTTAGATAATAAATGTAAGTCCATATCAAAAGAGTTGTGCATGGAGAATAGTAGTTAAGGGAATTTTTTTGATTCGATTTTGGATTTAAACTTATTCTGCAGTCCTTACAAATGGAAGGAAAAAATAAAGTAAATTCAATCAATCAAACACGAATCATGCCAACTCATCATGCTATAGGTTTTCATACTTCGTAGAACATATCACATGCCGTAAGCTATAAGCCTGATTGAAAGATCCATGAATCATTAAACAAACTAATTTCTTCTATATATATAAAACAATTTGAATTATTTGCACTGATACAGGAATTGCCTATGATTTCAAATTTTGACTATATACAAAATATTTAACAATTTCTGCACTGAGTAGCATTTAATATAATTATATTCCCATCGATCTGTAACCAGTGCAGAAATTGCTTAGAAAAAGTGACTGAAATATCCTTCACATGCTCTTCTACCTTCATATACAGATCATAGACAACATAAACATGCTCTCAGGGGCTCATCCCCCACCACGCACACATGCAGACTTACATTGCTGGCCAGCTGATCCTTGAGGAACTGCAGATAGAAGTTCAGATCGGACTTGGGCATGGTCTCGTGGCCCCAGCAGGCGAACTTGGCCAGGATGCGCGACGACATGTTGACGATAAAGCCGTCCTGGCGGTTCAGCAGGTTCAGGAAGGGACCCCAGATGCACTGCTTCAGCTTGCCGGCCGTCTCGTGGAACAGATCCACCCGCGAGCGATCCTCCTGCAGCAGGTCGTCCAGTAGCACGAGTATATACTGGATGGTCGAGTCCTTGGACAGATGAGAGACCAGATTCAGCAGCGTCTTGACCACCTGGCTGGAGTTCTGGGCCAAATGGCTGGCACGTGACTTGTCCAGGGCGCTGATCGCCTTGTAGTCCTCCTCGCTGATCATCTGCGACTGCATGTAGGATGCCCAGTTGATCGTCCTGGTCCTGATGTCCGCCGCCTGCTGCTGCAGCACCGAGGTGGCAGCAATCATATCTGCGGAATACGGGTGACCAACAAACCAGGTTAATGGGGGGAGTTATATATAAGGTGTATGGGGTGCTGCCCTGGACAGCCAGTTAGCACCCCCACACCCACACACTCGCACTTCGATTTTTCCACAAAGGTCGACTGCGGAACGGAGGAACTCACCAATGTTTTCCTCGGGCAAATACAAGGCGGTAGTCATTTTGAGGGCTTTCTTGCGACGACGCTCGGCACACACAAATTCAAGCACAGAATTTATGAAAATTTATCAAATATTACCGAGTGTTTTTCACACTACTGCGACACAGCACCGAAATTCAGCTGACTGGTCTTGTGACTTTTCTGCAGCCTCTTATCGAATAGTCGAATAGGTGATATCGACACATGAATAGAATTACGGGACAAAAATATCGATAGTTTGGGGCTGCCAACTTATTTGTTCTCGTTGTATAAATTTTTAAATTATGAAATCAACATAAAAGCTTACTTTACTGATTTTGTCCTTTTCACATTTTAAAAATTAAATAAGTTTTATCAATAAAAATTATCTTTATGCAACTGTAATATTTCCTAGATACATATTTAAAGATGGATTACTTCTCAGTACTTATAAATCATATAAAGCTTAACTTTATTTCACCAAATTTAAGTTTTGTGTCACCCACGAAGTGTTATTTCTCCATACCCAAGAAAAAAACAATCTTAAAGTTTCAATAATGTTGGATTAAAAATTATATTTGGAAACAATGATATAATCGTCAATTTGTCATTTCAAGCTTGCACAACTTTTGGTGTTTTTTCAAATTGCTATTCACTGCAAAGGACTTTGGGCACAAACTGCACTTATAGGGTTTTTCGCCCGTATGAGAACGGATGTGATTTCTAAGATCGCTGGCGCGAGAAAAAGTCTTTTTGCACTCATCACATTTGTGGGGTTTGTGCCCAGTGTGTAACCGGGTGTGTCGATTTAAATCCGATGTAGACAGGAAGGACGTATTGCATTGGGAACACTTGTGCGGCCTGTCTTTGCTTCGTTTTATAGTGTGTGTGAGCAGGTGGGCCTTGAGATGATGGACCCTTAAATAAGTCTTTGGACACTTTTCGCACTTGTGCGGTCTTTCTCCGGAGTGGGAAAAAACGTGGTCTCTGAGAGCATAGGGACGTGCATAGGAATTTGGACAATAGGGGCACTTATACGGTCGTATTTCCGAGTGGCTAAGAAGGTGTCGACTACGACTCGAGGAGTACGGAAATGTTTTAGGACACTGGGGACATTTGAACAACCGGTTCTTTGAATCTGATGGAGTTGGAGTCCTCGGACTATCGGAATGATCCTCCGAATGGCTCCGAATGTGTTCCTTCAAATGTTTTGCCTCCGCAAAAGTCTTTGGACAATGGGAGCACCTGAACCGCTTACCATGTTTCAGGGCATGCAACTTAAGTGATTGTAAATCTTTGAAAGATTTCGGGCAATAATTACATTTGTAGGGCATGTAAGAAGTGGGTTTTAGTTTCGATACAGGCAAATCAGATTTCGATCTATTCTTTTTACTTCCAGAATGGGTTAGAATGTGTTGCTTTAAATCGGTTGAGTGGGTAAAAGTTTTCTGGCACTGGGAACAGCTGTAGCGCCGTTTACCGTGAGACTTTGGAGGAGGAGAGTCAGTAACAGATGGCGGGTAATAATCGTCCTTTTTGTAAGCTGTGGCATTCGAATCTGATTCAGAGAAATCAAACTTTGAATAATCGTCGGCATTATCTCCTGAATGGGTCAGAATGTGTTGACTAAACTGGGAGGCATCCACAAAAGATTTCGGGCACAGGGAACACTTATAGCGCCGTTTCCCGCGTGAAGGTAAGTTCTTAATCTTTGGAATAGTATTAAGATCTGATGTAGACAAAGTATCACTGACTTCTATCTTGCAGACGTCTTCCTCGAATAGGTCGCTATAAATTTCTTCGTTAGATTGATCAATCATATTGCTTGATATTTTGCAGACTGTTTCTATGTTTATGTCATCATCAACAGGTTCGTTTTTCACTTGGTACTCCTGGGTTTTTTTATGTTTAACGTGGATTTCCGTTCCCCCGTCGTAAATCGAGTCCTCGCCGTCTGAAATTTTGCAGACTCCTCCCTTGTCGAACTTCTGGGTAGACTCAAATGTTGCTCGAGCATCCTGCAAGCATGTTGGGCAGATCGTTTCCGGAAGTAAGTCCCCTCTTTCAACTTGATAGCCGGACCATTGGGCAATCATTTCCGAAATGCATATATCGTGTTCTGGTTCACTATCGAATATATTGATCATGTCTTCGTCCTGTTGCAGGCAAACCCGGCACACTTCATCCTCCTCCATTTTCCTAAAACAAAGTGATTAGAACAGGGTTTTCTACGGTAAATTCAACTTACCTATAAATATTAAAAATATATTTTTTTAAAGACTATTTCCCCCTGTTTTTGTTTACCATTGTTCCAATGTTACCGTGCATGAAACGAAAAATATACCATTGGCAATATTTTCTGGAGATTTTTTGGTATTATTACTTGCCCAAAAACTGTCTTACCCTTGAAAATAACAAAATTATTTATTTATTTATTTTGTCTATTATAGTTTTAAACTCAATTTTAGTTGTAGCTTTTTATATAAATTTATTAACATCATCAAAAACAGTAACAATTCATAATAATTTAAAAGTGTATAGTTTGTTTAATTTTTTACTAGAATGCAGTTTACATTTCCTTGCAAAAGAAAGCGCTGCTATAACAAAAATATAAATTTCACGCCTTTCCCAAATTGCGAAAATGGCGATCGTGTTCAAGGAAGATTTACAGGACTCTCAGTGGAGATAATTGATCCCAGTCAGGCTAAATCGCTGTATGACAATGGTTGTTTTGGCAAGGGGAGCAAATCGCGAGGAGGACCGGCATCTGGAGACGAGGACGAAGTACTGTTCCTGGGAATGGAGGAATCATGTTTCCTGGCCTTCTATTTAGACATTTTAGACATAACGTGCACAACCGGTGGAATAATGGACTTCCAGATGTTTTTAAAGTTGGCAATGGACTTAAATGAAAGATTTGTGGAAAACTTGGCATGCTATTTGTATTTAAAGTCCAAGAATTGGGTGATCAAAAGTGGCATCAAGTTTGGCGGTGATTTTCGTAAGTGTTTTGCCTCTGGAATTTGTAATCATCACTAAAATATCTCATTTTTAGTTATATACAAGCAAAGCCCCAGTTTGTACCACGCCAGCTTCTTAGTCATTGTTCAAGTATCCTCTGATTTGGAGTACTATAAATCAAAGAACTTGAAAGGCGTTCAACGGGTGGCGGAAACTTCGGATAAGGATGTGCTGCTTCTCACAGTCAATAAACCCAAAGATATAGCTACACCAAAGGAACTTAAGGAAACCAAAATAACAGAGACAATTGTGCGGCGTTTCAATTACTTAACTTTTGTACAAAGCAAACAACAATAAGGAACTATTCCGGGATTCTACAACTTCTCCAGGCGATGCTTTTTGGGTATGCCAGTGCTACGATAATCGGCCCGTTCCTGCAGATATATCTGCTTGCACTCCTCCTTGAAGGCCTCGTTCTGGTACCACTGTGTGAGGCATTCCTTTAGGGCAGAATTTTGCTTTCGGCAGGTGGCCACCATTAATATACTACTGGCCTTGCAGCATTCCTGGAAATCGGCCACTTCCTTCGAGCAGAATTCCGTCTTGGCCCGATCCCGCATTATCTTGGGTATCAGAACTTCACGCTCGACCTTGCGCAACCTCGTATCGTTGGGGTCACCTAACAGCAGGATTATAAGTTAATGGGTTCAATCGTTTACTCTAAGGACTCACCAAGTCCATGGGGATTAAGGGGGTCTACGGCTGGTTGTTGTTCGAGTTTCATATTGTCTTAAAAATACTATTTATTTTGTGTAACAACTTTTAGTGTGACTGCTAGTGGCCCAATGGAAAATACATGGAATATAAAAATACCACATAGATACTGAAGAAGAAAGTCTTATTTGAATTTGTGACCAAAATAATAAAATAATATTTTAAATTTAAATACAATTTTTAGGAACAACCAACTATACGAGAAAGAAAAATAAAAATGTCTTTAGCCCTTAAAGCAAATACTTGCTATGATAATTAAAGCAAAAGATGATCGTCCAATTGATTAACCTCCGCTTCGTACCAAAGTAGCCAATACAGGCGCATTTTATTACAAACTGTGCATTTAGAATGCTTGAATCAAAACCTAACTAAGCAGCCGCATTGTATTCGGCGAGGCTCTTGGCACTGATAGGTTCAAGATTCCGCACTCCATCCTTGTCCACCACTGCCACATTGAAGTTCTTAAGGTTCACGACCAGTCGCTTCTGGATCTCGACAATGCACTTCTTAAAGACATCGTAAGCCTCCTCCTGGGTGATGTTGGGGTGCCAGTAGCGATCGTAAATGCTGGATGCGAAGACCGCACCATAGCCATGACCGGCATAATTGAGAGACTTGGCGTTGGCCAGGTAATCGATGAAGGTGAGCTCCGGACCCTCGTTGGGATCATATCTGAAAGGTAGAAACACATATGTATGACTTCAAACTTAGAATGATTTACTAAGAGATAGGATCCTTACCCTGCCACAAACATGAAAACCTGGTAAGGTGTGCGACTGCGAAGATATTCGGCCAGATTCTTGCGCGTGAAATGCGCCGCCGCATGTGGACTTAAGTCGTATCCGTTGCGCATCTTGTACAGGGCTATGTTCTTCGAAATAAACTCGGTAAACTGCTCCGTATCGCCCGATTCACCAGTGGTTGATATAAGCAGATTGTCCGACACCTTGTGGATTTTGTTCTGATCTGCAAATAAGTACGAGTAAAGGCACCAAATGAGGCACAAGCCGCAAAGAAAAATGAGATTCTGTGCTTACCCTCCTTCATTACGATTATGGAGCGGGCGTGGGTTGTGTCCGCCGCCAGCATTACGAAATCGGGACCCTTGATACCCAGTAGTGTCTCCATGTTGCAATTATTAACGTACTTTCGGGGTATATAGCAAAATTCCAAGTTGTTTGTGAGTTGCCGAAATGCAATGACAAGCAATAGTTTAATGAAGTGTGGCTGTCGGCGAGCGTGTGAAAAATACAGAATCTGAAAAATACTAACTAAAGCTTTCATTTAAAAGTCTAAGAAAATGTATATTTTCACTGTAGTACAGTTTTTACTTCTGATACTTTAAATGTTTATTAATTTAGTACTAAAAACTAATTGTATAAGCTTAAAAGACAGGTTTTAGGAAAACACATTGAATTTTTATTTAGGAAATTTGAAAACTATATGGCGTTTGGCCACACTGGTTCTTGGTATCAGCGACTATATTATTTCACAATTTAATTTACCATATAAACCATTAACAATTAAAGCCATGCAGGCACCTCCACCAGAACATTGTCCTGGAACGGAGAGCGAGCAGGCGGGCAAGGTGAGCGCCTGCGCCGGCTGTCCAAACCAGAGCATCTGCAGTGATCCCAGCAAGAAACTTGAAGATCCCGGCAAGGCTTTGGTGGCAGAATCACTGAAAGATGTGCGAAGCAAGCTGCTGATACTGTCGGGCAAAGGAGGTGTTGGGAAGAGCACGGTGACCAGCTTGCTGACCCGCTTCCTGGCCAGGAGTTGTCCGCAGAGCAACTTCGGCGTTCTGGACATCGACATTTGTGGTCCATCGCAGCCTCGTTTGATGGGCGCCTTGGGGGAGAATGTTCATCAATCTGGTTCTGGGTGGTCACCCGTTGGAATCGATGACAATGTGTGCCTTATGTCCATCGGATTTCTCCTCGGGTCCGTGGATGATGCCATTATTTGGCGTGGTCCGAAGAAGAATGGAATGATTCGGCAGTTCTTGAGCGAGGTGGACTGGGGCAATCTGGATCTCCTGCTGCTGGACACACCTCCTGGTACCTCCGATGAGCACCTGTCCGTCGTTTCCTACTTGAAGGACGACAACAAACCGGAATCCCTTCGTGCCGTCGTGGTCACCACGCCGCAGGAGGTGGCTCTCCTGGATGTTCGCAAGGAGATCAACTTTTGCAAGAAACAAAATATCCCCATTGTGGGCGTGATCGAGAACATGAGCAGTTTCCGTTGCGGCAATTGTGGAAACAGCTCAGAAATCTTTCCGGCCAAAACAGGAGGCGCTGCAGCCATGTGCGCCGAGATGGGAGTTCCACTGTTGGGCTCTTTGCCTCTGGATCCCCAGGTAGCCAAAGCCTGTGATTCTGGGGAGGATATAACTGAGATTAAGAACACCACCACTGAGGCGCTGGAGGGGATTTGCTCTAGGATTATGGCTAGCTTTAGTTAGTGATGTAAAAACAAACAACTTTGAAATAAAAAACATGGTTAGAACGACTGCTTTTATTAAACATAACACAACTTAGCCGCCGGTTCATCTTTTCTTTACCATTCGTTATGGGCTGTGCTTTTTCTTATAGAAACAAGTATGGTTTAATGATAGTTCGACATAAAAATAATAGATTTAATAAATCAGCTGTGGAAATCATATTAAACTACTTTCTCAACAACTTTTAAATTAATATATAACTTATTTTGCCGTTTACAACTTGCAGCTTAAAATAATGATGAGCAAGCGGATCTTAATCAAACCATAGTTAGCAATGGAATAATACAGTGATTGTTTTGCTTTTAAGCATTAACCAAAGGTGGAGAAGAGGGCGGGCTCTCTAAGGTAACATCCGTGGAAAATCTGCTTGGGACATTCGGCTGAGGAACGGCATCGGCAACGGCGGCTCGTTCGACATTTTGTGCAAATATGGTATCTCTTCCCGTGCTTTCCATTGTAGGAGCAAATGTTGTTTCCCTTCCTAACTGATGGGTCACTGCAGACAGCATTCGGGTTTCTCTTGACGTGCTTTCCATGGGAGGAGCAAATGTTGTTTCTCTTCCCAACTGATTGCCCAAGAGGGTTAATTGTTCTGACGTCCGGGCTGGAGAATCCAGTGTTTCCTTTTCATTGTTCTCGGGTAGCAATGTATTATCCTGAGCAATCGTTCCACCTACGTACTGACTGCTAGGAACCATTGTGTGCTGAGTGGGCAGCTCGGGCGGATAGTTTAGCAAGGTGATCGAGTCCGTGCAGTCGCTGACTTTGTATATACCCACCAGAAAATTGGCTAGTTCGAACATGTTTACACGTAGTGAGACAATAATGAACTGGGCGTTCTTTGTACGCTCCTAAAAACAAATAACAAATCACGTTATAACATAAAAAATAATAGAAATAAATATAAATATTTACCTTAATATAGTGGCCCACAATTGAAACATTTTTGAAATCTAGCGCTGCATCAATTTCATCCATAAAGTACAGCGGAGAAGGCTTGTAATAATGCAGGGCAAATACTAGAGCCAGCGAGGACAGAGTCTTCTCACCGCCTGAGAGATTCGAAATGTATTTCCAACTCTTCTTGGGCGGCCGTACCGTGAAATTCACACCCTCAGTGAATGGATCCATAGAGTCCACTAGTTCTAGCTCGGCATCGCCGCCCAGCGTAATCATCTGGTACATTTCCTTTAGTTTCCGCGTAATGATGCTGAATCCATCCATAAACTCCTTGTAGCGTCGTTTTCGCACCTCCTCATATTTGTCGCGCATCTCGTTTCGCTTGGAGGTAATGTCCTCAAGGACACGGACGCGATCTAAGTAGACGATGCGCTTTTCGTTAAATTCCTTAATGCATCCCAGGTTGGGCTTCTTGGTTTTTAAATCTTCCTCAAGCATAGTTTGCTTATACTGTAATGCTTCCAAGGTCTCTTCTTCTAGTTCTTCTTCACTGAGCTCCTTGAGGGGCGCTTGAGGTTCAGTTTCGCCAGGAATCTCGTTGAGCTTCAACGGTAACAGTTGAGCTTGCCATCCGGGAATCTCTGTCTTTACCTTGTTCATCTTTCCTGCGGCCGCTTGCAACTTCGTATCTATTTCAATGCGCTCCATGTTTCTTTTATTTTCCTCTTTAGTGATCTCATCAATTTTTTTTTTGATATCCGAGGATTGAGATTTGGCGCCCTCGATGGCTGCTTCCGCCTCCTCGGCTTCCTTTTCCAACCCTTCCTTCTTTTCCTGACACTTCTGGCGGTCCTCATTTAACGATTTCAATTTTTCCTCTGCAGCTTTTATGTTCTCTCGAAGATTATTAGTGTTTCCAGTGATCTTCTTAATGTTGCGATCAGCGGAGGCCAAGGCTACATTTAAGGAGCGTACATTAGCGGCAAGCTTCTCGATCTGGCTGCCCACCTTCTTTATTTTGGCCTCCACGGGCTTGACGTTTTCGTTTCTCATAGTATCGTACTGGCTTTGGATCTCCTCGATTTGGCTGGAGACAGCCTGCTCGGCGAATTGGGCTTGTTCCAGCTCTTGCTTGGCTGCTTCGATCTGCTCCTCGCGCTCCTTAACGGCACTCTCGTCTGTTGTCTTTTTCAGCATTCGCTGCCGCTGCGCCTCGCATTGCTTCAAATTGCTGGCCATCTGCTGCTCCAGGGAAGTAATGCTTACCGCCAGCCTCTTATATTCCGCCTCGTCCCGCTGCTGGCTCATCTTCAGGGTTTGAATCTCGCGCTCAAGACTACCCTGCTGCTCCTGGCAGAAGTTAACACGCGTCTGCAGCTCCTCCGCCTGAACTTGCATTTCTTCCAGAGCCTTCTGAGACATCTGCGAACTGTCAGCCGATTCTACCGTCTTGGTACGCACCTGGGAGGCCATTTTACCGCGCATAGGACGGTTGCCGCCACCGGACATGGTGCCCGTCATTTCAATCATCTCACCTCGCAACGTAACCACCCGGAAGCGTTCTCTGCCATAGGCAATGCGGGTTCCCTGTTCCAGTTCGTCGCACACCAACGTATTCCGCAGCGCGAAAAAGAATGCGGTTCTCACACGGTCGTCCTCCACCTTAATGAGATCGTACAGTCTAGGAACGTTCTCTGGTCTGCAATTTAGTTATGACCCGGTTAACATCAGTCAAATAAATTTTCTGAATTCGACATACGTATTTATCCGCGAAGTGGCATCGCGCCGATGGTGCTCAATCTTGTCCAGCGTAATGAATGTGGCTCTGCCCACATTGTACTGCTTTAGGGCGGCAATGGCCGCGGCTGCTGTGTCATAGTTGTCCGTGACAATGTTGTCCAAGCGTCCACATGCAGTAGAAATGGCCACATCATACTTGGCATCTATGCCCCCCAAGTCACCCAGGCGTCCCAGAATGCCTGGGATTTTGCCCTCCATCTTGAGACGCATAAGAAAGTCCAGGACTTTATTGTTTGAGCGCTGAGCTTGCATAACGGTCGATCCTTCGTTTATCTAAGAGAAGAATCATTTACAATTGATTAATGTGGAAAATCAGGGAAAAGAAAAATGTCTATCCTTACCTCAGTTCTAAGTTTGTTGCACTGCATGGATAGGTTACGCTCCTCTTTGACCATTTTATCTACTTCCGCTGTCTTGTTGGCTATTTCGCTCTTCATGCGTGGAATGCTTTCTTTTAACTCATCCACCCTGTTCACCTTCTCCTCGAGACTTTTTTGGGACTGTTCGTATGAGCTCTTTAGAGTTTCATATTTCCTGGATTCGGTAGTCTCTGCCTGTTTGAGGATTTTTAGTTGCGATTCGAACACCTGTAGCTCTGCTTTGGCCGCATTGACTTTCTCCTTGAGGCCAACCAACTCGTCACTGAGCCGCAGACGCTTCTCAGTCAATGGGGCCGTTGTTTTCGTCAGCTCGGCCTGCTGCTTTTCAAGTTCTTCATTCAGCGTCACCTTATCCTTTTCCAGACTCTCCAGTTTTTTATTGCAATCTTCGATCTCGCGTTGATTTTTTTCCGGCATTTTATGCAGATCCTCCAGCTCCTTATCGTTCTTCTCTATCTGGGCTTTGTCTTTCTTGCGCTGTTTGTTTGTGTTCTCCATGGTGCTTTGGATTTCGGTATGGGCTCTTTCGACAGTAACCAGTCTTTTTTTGATTTGTTCGCGCGTCTTCACTAAAGATTCGTATGCTCTAATAAAAATATACAAATGAATATATATATTTTAGTATAACGAAAGATTTGATCTTACTCAATTTCCTTTCGGATGATGTTCTCCTTCTCGGCCCGTTCTTGTTTCAGGGCAGCAGTTCCCTCGTCGTGGGTTTTTATCTCTTCCACACAGGTTTCATGCTCCTTGGTGTACTGTTCCAGCTTGGTTTTCTTGATGCTTACAATCTTTTGTATGTGGAAGGATTTTGTGCGCACCATCTCGTTCTCCTTCTTCAAATAGTCAACGGCTTCGTTGAACGGCTGTTCCAGATCTTTCATCTCGCGCTCAGCCAACTTGCAGCGGTTGTGCTTCTCCGTACGGTCGTCGGTAAGTTGATCGACCCTCTGGTTGATTTGCTGCAGAGGGCGAATATAGCGTTGGGTTCCCACAATGTCCTCCAGGTATTCCAGCATTCCCGTTTCGTTTTCAGTCAGCCCCTTTGGTTTCATCATGGCAATGGACTCCACTTCGCCCTGAAGGATGAGGAAGCGATTGTGTTCCAGATCTACATGATGCTTTTTTAGCAGTTTAGCCACATCCTTGAGCTGGGCCCTCTTATCGTTGACCTGATAGTAGGAAGAGTTGTCCGACATGGCTGTGCGTTCGATGACAATGCCGGAATCCGGCACATCTTCGCAGCTGCCGTCGCCCTTGTCTACAATCTGCTTAAAGTGCACGGCCACCGAGCAACTCCGGAGATTGGGGAATCTCGAGGAGGAGTGGATCAAAGTTGAGACCCGCTTGCAGCGAATGCGATTCGCGCGACAGCCAAAGACGAACATCATGGAGTCGATAACATTGCTCTTGCCACTGCCATTTGGTCCAATGATGGCCGTGAAGCTCTGATGGAACGGGCCCAGTTCCACTTCACCGGCATAGCTCTTGAAATTCCGGTTCACAATCTTTGAGATGATCAGCCGCGGCCCGACGCTCTCCATGGAGCAATGTGGCGGCACAGGAGGCGGAATGTATATATCACCGATCCGGGTGCCGCCCTCCTCGTCGTCGAAGATCAAGGCATCGTCTAGGGCGTCCATGGCGGCGTCCTCCTCCTCCTGCTGTTGTTGTGCCCGCAATTGCTGCTGGGCAGTTAGTTGCGGCACCCGGAACTGTCCGCTCGGGCGTCCACCGCCTACGCCCTTTGGCGTGCCTTTGCTGGGACGCGCCTTCTGCATCTTGTCCGCTTTTTTAAAACGAAAACTTGTTTAAACAAAGCCCAATTCTCAAAATACGAATGGCACTTTTCAGGCGCCAATGGAAATAGGACGCTAGGGGTGGAGAAATATGTTTTCAAAACATCGGTAATATCGATGTTTGGCAGGGCGTCATCGATGTTTCTACACTTCTATAAAGAAAATACGATCGTGAATGTACGATAACTAAGGAGTTTGTCCCCGCTACTTGCGGAGTGAGTCCCCGCTAACATTCAAAATGCATTTTGGTCACAACACTGTAAAAAATATTTTCTCGTTGTTCCAAAAAAAATAAAAAGTAAAAGAATTTTTAAAAAATACAAGGATGTATTTAATATTTGGTACTTAATACATTACATCAACTTCAAGCAATATGTACTTATTTATCTAAGCAAAGGACCCCCAATTAAAACCTTGCAATATGTTGTTGGACTTTGTTCTGCTTGGATCTCTTACTGACTAAGTTGCCCGTTGTAGATGCATTTAAAGAACAGCATACTTTTAGTTGCTGTTACCAGTACGTCGTATTTCTCGTTTTTTCTTTAGGTTTAAAGTAAATTTTTAGAAAATAAATCATCCGGATAGAAGAAATCAATAATTTCAATAGCCAAATATTGGCTAAAAATCGAATAGGACCTGGTATCTAAAATGTATAACGACGTGAAATTTCATATTATACAGATTCTACAAACCTTCGTATAATGATTTTAGTCGACAACTACTTTTCTTTAAGTTTCTAATTTACGAAAGTATTTAATTTTATTATTTTTCTGTTAAATATTTCAATACAACATATATTTGATAACTGTAAAGTATATAAAAACATTAACATGAAGGTATTTGAATTGACTATTTTTATAATTATTATTATTGTATATCTCATTTTATGAATAAATTATTTATTTAACCTATAGTAAACAAAAACTCTCTGGCTCCCTATCATAACTTAAGCACCCACTGCGAAGAGCTTTCTCTGGGTGTCTCTCCACTACCCTCTTGTAAGAGAAATGCCCAAATATATAATGCCTTGGCTGCATCTGGCTCGACTTCAGTCACAATTCGACTTTTGTTCGGTGCGGTTCCGCTCGCGATTTTCCTTAGTTTTTCCACTCGCAGCACACTAAACAGAAAATAAAAGCGCAAAGTGGAAAGCAGGCGGAAAAATGCTCTGCCCAGGGGAAAATGTAAATTGCCAAACGGGTTTCACAGTCAAGGTCGTCGCTTCCGCCCAGCGACGCCGTATACCGTTATCAACGCGAAACTCCGAATACCACCCACTAATCGGTTTGTCCATTTTGATCATAGTGATTATGTCGTCTTCGCTGGATGCCCTGGTCATTGGTAATTTCTCCCCTTTTGTTCGATTTTTGATTGGGTGCGTGTCTTGCCTTTATGTTTTTGGCATGCGCATGCGCGCGCATTGGGTGTGAAAGTTGTCGATCGGAGTTATATAACAAACGGGGAGCCAAGTGGGGCCAAGTCGGGTTGCGTTTTGGATTGTGTCCCCGAACAGACGCCCGCCCCTCCCCCCCTGCGTACCACCAAAAAAAAAGCGTGTGCATTGAACCCCATGACAGTTGCTGAAATTTTCCTGACCCGCTGCCTTGGCCTCTCCGGCACACAAGATGATAAACTTACTTTCTAAATGCTGCAACTGCCCAGCTGCTCCAGCTAGAGATCGAGATTGAGATACATACAAACATACGGACGGCCAGTCGGACTATCTGTTATAGCCATATCTCGAGATCGCATCTTGCATTTGGCCAACACGCGTCTCTTGCCCAATCGCCTGAGTTACGATCTGGTGCGGCACGGCTACGGGCCATTGCTGCCAATCCATGATGCAAACGCATTTCAGTTTATCCGCCGCAATGTGGCACACAACTGGGGGCGTATTTTTCAGTGGGTGGAGCAGAGATACCTATTTTCAAAAGGTACCCAAGAGCTACCAAGAGGTTTCCCAAAAAAGAGTAAGGGAAATTTTTCAAAAACTTGTTATTCAGAAGGCACCCAATAATCAATGAAAAAATAAAAAGAATCCTTATCCCTTAAATATCATATGCCTTTAAAAGAGTTTTTGTTTCAATAAAGTTTTCTTAAATTGTTTTTATGTATGATAAAGTTAAAAACAATTTTAAAAAGTAATTAGATCATTAAATACTTTTTTTTTAGTTCAAATTATTAAGTTTTTTCTTTATGCTTAGGCAGTAGTATTTCGTGACTAGTTTCAATATAAATCATAGTTCCCAGTTACCTTGAAGAAAGATGAGCTGAGCTTTAATAATGGTAGTCTTAATCGAGGTCTGTAGCATATCAAAAAGGCCATCAAAATTAAACTCATTATTTTAGGCACTTCTAAATTAGTAAGTGGAATATATTTCCTTGAAATTTGTCGAATTTTTCAATTCAATTCAAGTGGCGAACGTGGGCTTATGCTGTGTTTTTCTTTCATAGTTGACTATTTGCAACTTTGTGTGTACCTCCCATTCCAGTGCGTGATTGGTATCCAACTTAAAAAACAGAAGAAATATTGCTGCAACCGGTAGCAATGGCTAATTTTGGGTTGACGTGAGCGGTTTCGTTTTTGGGTCAACGCATTAATTAGTCTCCTAGTTAATTACACACGGCTCTCTCACACCCAGTTTATGTGTGCCTGCTTTGCAGACAATGATGGAATAATCAGTAACCAGACTCGGCATCGTCGTTCGACCTCCGGAGCATCGGTGGCTGCAACTCCAGCCAGTTGCATGCAAGATGCACGCTTCTACCGGAATCCAAACAGGCCGGTGCACAAGATCTGGACGAACAGTGAGTGCGCCAAGTATTTCCTCTGCCTCGACGGCGAGGTGTTCGAGTTCAAGTGCTCTGAGGGACTGCTCTTCGATGTGGTGCGTCAGATCTGTGACTTTAAGGCGAATGTGGATAATTGCGATGTGAGCGCGGAGACGCCGGCCCCGAAGCCACTTTTGGAGATGGCCGACTGTGCGGATGATTACCAGTTGGGGTGCGCCGACGGTACCTGCCTGCCGCAGGAGTACTTTTGCGACGGATCGGTGGACTGTCCCGATGGTTCCGACGAAGGATGGTGCGATGTAGAGCACGATCCGAATGCGGCGGGTGCCTGTGATCCCCGGAAATGCCAGTTGCCTCAGTGTTTCTGCTCGAAAGATGGCACCCAGATACCCGGAAGTATTCCAGCCCAGAGTGTTCCACAGATGATTCTGCTGACCTTCGATGATGCCATCAATCACGATAATTGGGAGCTGTTCTCAAAGGTTCTGTTCACCCAGAACAGGAGAAATCCCAATGGATGTCCCATAAAGGGCACATTCTATGTCTCGCATCCGTTTACCAACTATCAGTATGTGCAGAAGCTGTGGAACGATGGTCACGAGATCGCCGTGCACTCAGTCACGTAAGTTTATCTCTTAAAGTGGTTTTATATTAGACTGTATATAAATAAGTGAAGGTTCTGGTTCCACTAGTCTTAAAATTTATAACTTCTCCTCGTAGACATCGCGGCCCTGAAATGTGGTGGTCCAAAAATGCCACAATCGAAGATTGGTTTGACGAGATGGTTGGCCAGGCAAATATCATTAATAAATTTGCAGCCGTTCGAATGGAGGAGATCCGGGGGATGCGCGTGCCCTTCCTTCGTGTCGGCTGGAATCGCCAGTTTCTAATGATGAAGGAGTTTGGCTTTGTGTATGATTCCTCTATGGTGGCGCCGCACTCGAATCCTCCTTTGTGGCCCTATACCTTGGACTACAAAATGCCGCACAGCTGCACGGGTGTGAATCAGAATTGTCCGTCTAGGAGTTATCCGGGAATTTGGGAACTGGTGATGAACCAACTTGAAGCGGGCGAATATATGTGCGGCATGGTAGACAGTTGTCCACCGCACTTAAGTGGTGAGGATGTATACAGAATGCTGACACACAACTTTAAGAGGCACTACCTCAGCAACAGGGCACCCTTCGGCCTGTATTTCCATTCCACCTGGTTCAAGAAGGTCGACTATCTAAATGCATTCCTGGTGAGTATTTAAAGTAGCTGCTCATCTTTGTTTTTATAGCACGGTTGTCCTTTAAGAAATTCCTCGATGACCTGCAAAAGCTGCCGGACGTCTATTTTGTGACCAACCAGCAGGCGATTCAGTGGATGCGCCATCCCACGCCCAGCAATCAATTGCATCAGTTTGAGTCCTGGCATTGTCAGCCCAAAGATTTGGATCCCCAGGAGCGGGTCTGCAACTTGCCAAACGTGTGCAAGGTGCGAAGTCGAGTGCTGCAGGAAGATCGCTACTTCTACACTTGCATGGAGTGTCCTGCCCAGTATCCCTGGATTCGTAACGAGTTCGGTTTGGACTAAGGTGATAGCCCGCTTAACACTTATGAGCCTCCCGAAAGGGGTTTACTTATTCATAATATTTCGAGTGGTCTGAGAGCGAGTCTTTAAAGTCATATTGTCTTTTTGTTGTAAAAACTATTTAGTTATTTGCTTCTAATTGTGACAAACTTGTACATTCAAGAGTTTATTCAAATTTGAAGTGTTTAATACTTCTATATTTTAGCAAATTAATATTTATTATTTGGATTAATTAGGCCTTAGAAAAATAAATATAGGTGCATTAAATATTTATATTTATAAAATGAAATTGTAACAAAAATCTTGGAGAACTCCAGAACTTGCTTGTATCAAAACATTTATAATATTAAAATCCAGAACACACGGAATATTATGGAGAAGTCAAGATCCTTTTCGTGGGATGACAAATGTTTTACTATGTGGCCTAGATTAATTAGTTTTAAAGGATAATTTATATGAATGTCTCCGCTAAATATATTTAAACCGATTTCCACAAACGTTTTGTACTTAGTCTAGACCTACTGTTCCTCCGATTATTGCGTTATAAAAGGATTGGCGATGCTCTCGACTCCGTCCTGTGGACAAATGAGGACCAAAGCTGTTCCGCGGCACACCACCAATCCCAGACTTCGGGTGGAGTCCTCGGTCAGTTTGTAGGGCTCATCGGAATCCCGCAGATACTCCACCGTGTTGTCCAGCACCAGATTGAGTAAAGCGTCGTAGCCCTTGAGAATTCCGGATGCCTCGCGGCCGCCAGCGAACTTCACGCGGATCTGTTTTTCCAAGTACTTGGAGAGGTCCAGAATCGACTCCTTGCGGCGCTTCTCCTTGCCGTCGTTGTTGCCACCCACCTGGAAGATCACGCAGATGATGAATAATGCTAATTGCTTCATTATAATTTCATTTACCTTTTTATCTGCCATTATTGTGTTTTTAGTAAATGCCGGCGGGTTCAGAGTGACCGTGAATAAGTTTGCAAAAATTAACCCATAACAATTATATTTGCGTAATACTAGATACACGTTTGCTTAGTATTTTAAAAAAATTCTCGTTTAAAAATGTTGCCTAGCTTACAAATTGTTAGACCTAAAATACCTTTTGGTAAATATTTCACAATTCAGGATTATAGAATGTTCAGACCTTATTTAAATGATAATTATAGTTTTCTCTAACGATTAACATTTTTATAATTAATGGCTTTATTATGCACATAGTTTTCAGTTACTGCTTAAAACTATTGGAATTAATGAGAATTTAAAAAAAAATTGTTTCGTACTTCGATACAGATAAACAACTTTGGCTCTTAACGATTCAAGCAGTTAGCAAGCAGTCGGATTTGGGGAATACCATAGATATATTCATAGTATTTTTTCAAATGAAAAAGAAAGTATTTTTTTGAGCCTCGGACGGTATACTTGTTTAACTTTTCCACGGTCACACTGTACTGGCTCCATTTTGTTTTCCACGGCGGAACCTTTTTGCTACATCAAATTGCATTTTTAAACGACTAACCGAGCGTTTTTATAAAATTTAAGTGTTCTAAAGCAGCCATCAAACCATGGGACGCAAGAAGAAGAAGGCCTCCAAACCCTGGTGCTGGTATCCTTTTTGCAAAACAAACGACAAATATTTTTTTCACGGCATGTGCCGCTTGCTGTGTCTCCACATACACACAAATTTATATAATGGTATTGGGCAGTGGGGGGGGATGCCACATCTCCGGGGGAATTTTCCTTAACTCTTAACTGAAAACTAGGTACTGCAACCGCGAATTCGACGACGAGAAGATCCTGGTACAGCACCAGAAGGCCAAGCACTTCAAGTGCCACATCTGCCACAAAAAGTTGTACACCGGACCGGGCCTGTCCATCCATTGCATGCAGGTGCACAAGGAGACGGTGGACAAGGTACCTAACTCGCTGCCGAACCGCTCAAACATAGAAATCGAAATCTTCGGCATGGACGGCATTCCCGCCGAGGATCTCAGGGATCACGAGCGCCAGAAGAACGGCGGCAAATCTGACTCCGATGATGATGAGCCGGTGGCCAAGAAAAAAGTGGAATGTAAGTTGTCCTTGCACCGGCCTCCATAGATATCTAAGTGATTGCAATTACAGATGCCATGAGTGTGCCGCCACCCATGATGATGCCCCCAAATATGATGCCGCCGCACATGCTGGGCCAGTATGGCATGGGCATGATGCAGCACATGCCGCCGCTGCCTCCGTACCCAGTGCCCTTGATGCAGCACATGATGCCACCGCGTCCTCTGTTCCCGGCCGCCATGGCCACAACCTCGGCGGCGGCGGCTGCTGCGGCGGCGGCTCACCATCACCATGCCGCCGCCATGGCCCAACAAAAGCCAACATTTCCAGCGTACAGGTGGGCATCGTTAGGAGGGAAAGCCACATTAGAATCTTGCTAATTAGTCATTTTACCGGATTTTTAAAAAATCAAAGTACAGTTAATTTGAAACAGAATTGATTTTAATACTTATGGGAATTCAACCACATTAAAAAACATAAAAATCCTAGTCGTTTAAAAGATGAATTTCCGTTGTGGCTTGATATTTATGTTAAAGAAAACTAATCAGTTTAATTGGTCATTTGAGGGCAGTCTATTTAAGAAATCAAAATTTTAAAAATCGGTTCATAACTTGTATAAAAAAGTTATTTCCTAAGTGGCCTTCCCTTCATTAAACTTAGCCTCTAATGAAAGTCATTCGACTTATTCCTATGTTTCATTTAAGTTCTTTTTCACTAACGTAAGACCTTTGTTTTTGCATTTTTGATAAAGTAATGCTACCATAAGTGCTCCGCCCACCACCAATCATGCTGGTGGCGCATCCAGTGCAAGTGCACCACCAAGTGGTCCGCCCGATGCCCAGCAACACCAGCAGCGTCCACCGGCTCCACCCGCAGCAGGCGGAGCTGCCGCCGCCGCTGTGACCACAAAGATCATGCATCCGCAGGAAGACCTGAGCCTAGAAGAGTTGCGTGCCCGCCAACCGAAGATACAGGTGCGTCTGGCTGCCGCGTTGGCTGCCCTGGCGAATCCACAAAGCCACAAAAGTCCAAGCAACAATGGCGGCGCCTCCGCGTCGATGCCCGCCACGCCGCCGCCCCCGTCGTTGGCCGGGATCTCGCCAACGGGCAGCAACAGCAGCAGTGGCATGGCTAACGCGATTGCCGTCTCCACAGCCATGTCGAAGGCCCAGGAAGTGAGTTCTTATCATAGTTATAGAAACCATAGTCAATATAAATGAACATACCTGTACGGAAACGACTTCTAGACGCAGACATGACCTAAAAAACAGAATTTAACAAACTTAACGGACTAAAACACGGACGTGTAAAAAGACAATTTTCTCAAAAAAAAAAATAATAAAAATTAATTATGGCACATACAAAACCTGACTCACATTTAAATTTCGACTGCATTTTGCGTTCCGAGAGAATTCCATTTTTCCAAACTGGACACTTTTTACAATTACTTTTACGTTGCCAATTTGGCGGAAATTACGTTCACACGACCACAGCGAACGAAAGCAAACGGATTACAAGAATCACACGAAACAAAACATAATTAAAAGAAAAGAAATATCTTTTTTTAGCATATAGTATGATATATGTCTGTACAATTTTTTAATTAAACAAACAAATTAATGGCAACAAAACAAACGAAACGGCGGTTTTCAATTTAACCAAATAAGGTTCTTTGATTTAAAGCAGCTTACCACGAACCTAGGGAAATTAATAGAAGGAAAATGTAAGGTTTAATGTCGTTGTCCCCCAAACCTGTTCCCTATATTAAAATCTGAATAGCCAAAGCATCTGCCAGTTTCCCTTATCTTGCATTTCAGATATTAAATGGATGATACTAAAATGCAATTTATCCAACATCGTTCTAATCATTAAAGGGGGTGTGCACCAAAATAACGTGAAAATGAATTTAAATAGGTCTTAGGAGCTGAATTTATACTGTATACGAAAATGGAGATTTAATAAATAGATCTTGAAAGTAGCTCAATAAACATATTTAAAGGCATTTTACATGTTGCAATCATTTTAATCAATCAATTTTAATAAATACTTTCTGACAACTGAGACACATTCAAACAAATGCTACAGTTATTTTAATATTAAAGTGTATAGAATTTTCCTTTTTTAGTTGTTGAGACCTAACGCAATTATATAGCCGATGATCATTTGGAGGCTTGATTCAAGTAATTTTTTGACAGCAAAGAGTGTAGTGCATTTAATTTTTTGTTTAAATTACTCCCTATAGACAAAATGAATATGAAGAAATCTCCTCATAGTCAGGAAAAGCTTTTAATTGGGTGACCTCTATTAAATACCCCCCTCCCAGTGGCAAGTGAGATAAATTCAAACCATTCCCAAAATTTTCTTACAGACCGCTGCTCTGGTAGCACAGGCACACGCCCACGCTGCCCAGGCTCAGGCCCAAGCTCAGGCCCAAGCGCATGCCCAGGCACAGGCCGTGGTCCAAGCCCAGGTGCAGGCTGTCCACGTGGCTCATGCTGTGGCAGCCCAGCAGCATCAGGCGGCTCAGCAGCAACAGCAGGCGGTGGCGCAACAGCAGCAGCAGCAGGCGGCGGTACATCAGCAACAGGCGGCGGTGCAGCAGCAACAGGCGGCCCAGCAGCAGCAGGTCAAGCAACTGGAGGAACTGAATCGGGCCGTGATGCTTCAGCGCTTCAGTGCCAGACAGCCGGCAAACCCTGGCGCTGCGGCAGCGGCTGCGGCCGCCGCAGCTGTCGGCATGGTAAGTCTCTAATCCGGCGGTGCTGCGTATGCAACGCGTACAACCACCAATCGAAAGAATGAACTTGACTTAACAAAATCGAATTCCAAGTGCTGAGAATCTCAATCTGTCAAAGACCATAAACCAAAGAAAAAAAAAGTAACAAAAACCCATCTTATGTCCCTTTGGTGGTATCCAAAAGCCAACGACAACATTTGAGTGGGTTAACCCGATTCAGTTTAGAGCTTCGCCCTCATCATCATGCTAATCACCTTGTACTAGCAAATGTTTTTACAGATTAGTTGGGGGTCAAAATTTATTTGGATATTCTTATAAGATAATCAAAGGTTAACCAAACCTCACACTCACATGGCTAATCCCTAATTTCTGCCGTTGAAATCATTTGTTGACATTATCAAACGATCTTGTTTATAAAGATAACCCATGTGTTCAAAAGTAGCTGAAACAGTTTTAGACATATAATGTCCATTTAATCTATAAAGCTTTTACACAGTTTTAAAGCCAACCAAATTGAGACCTCATCAGCCAATTAAATTTGTTTCCTGTAAATCAAAATAACTCTCCGATCACATATAAAATAATTATTTTGCCTAACTACAAACGCTTACCAACACTATCGCTTTAGATTTCTATTAAATTTCGAACACATTACTTTTATTCAGCTTAAAAACAAAGGATTTCAACTGTCTCAACTAATATGTCTTACACAATATCAAATTTATAAAAGTATTAAGCTTGTAAAATCGAAAAATGTGTTAAAGTTACCGTTACAATTGCAGTACAGAGCAGAAGTTCAGTGTTGATAAACGATAAAGAGTTGCAAAAGTGTTGCGCAGGGCCCGAACAGTGTTACAGTATGTATTGTTTTTGTACAACAACAAGTTTATCTTCCCCCACCAACCCAACCTAATCACTCCGTCCAAAAAAACTCACACCCCGCTAAATGATATGTGAAATGCAAAGTGCGCAATGCAACAAGATAAGTAAAAGCAAAAAACTCAATTATAATCTTACTTAGTCGTACTTATGCAAGTAATTATGTAGTCTAAGCAAGTACCTACTCTCCTCTATCTCTCAACCGCTCACAGCCATGCGTATATATAACCCACAAGATCAATCCTGTCCCCAAGAAAGTTTCTAGTACGTACTGCCTTGCAAGTAAAAAAAATTGAAAATAATGATTTACAATTATGATAATGAATGAGAGATCAGTCGTGAGTTATATTAAAACTATTTTGCAAGCCATGTAAGTACATTTCAATAATTTCTATTATAAAAAAAAAAAAAAAATTACTTTGAATTTGTCGTAATGGTTGCTGCGTTGGTTGGTTTAATTGATTGATGATTGATTGACTGGTTGATTGATTAATTCATATCCACAAAATATACACATGAATTAAGTAAGACTACACACCGCATTGATATGTCTCTCTCTCTATCTCTATTGCCTCGATAACTCCACCCACCAATATAAAAAAAATCAACAGAAAACTATGTCATAAGCATAATCTCTAAATGTTCTTTGATCTGTAAATTGTAATACCAAAATCAATGTTTTATGTTCCTAAAATCATGCATCTCTGTCTCCATCCCCCCACCACCGACATTCAGATCCCGTCCGATTACTGCCCTTTCCATCTTCTTTCACACTAACACTCTATTCATTTGGTTTCTTGCGCAGTAAAAAAGCTTATCCAAGGTAGAGGACAATCGGTTGGAGATCCTTTTGCTTTCATTTCCAACCGATGAGCTTGCCATAGACCTCCTCCTAACCCACTCTTACCCTCATTCATCTCTCACAGACTCACCTTCTTAGAAAAGTTTAATACTAACTTCTAACTGAAAGATATTGGAACTTGAACTCGACCCCATCCCTCTGGTTAGTAAATAAAATTACTATTTTTTCTCTTAAGTGCGAATACGATTAATTTGTTTACGTTGCTCCAATTGAAGTGCAACTCAAATATTAAGAAACAAAACCTTAAATGGTTTGCAATGCAATCCCCTCACACCTTCTTCCACACCATCGTCGTCGTCAGTTCAGTTTCCGAATTGTAAGTACTTTTCTTTTTAAATCAACAAACTATTTAATTACAATCAAAAATTAATATTGTTTTTGCCATGGTGAGAAGAGAAGAAGTCTCGCCTCTTCTCTCTGCTCTACTCAATATTCTACTCTATATATCTTGTCTCTGCTCTATCATACATATGTAATGCGATGCAAAAAATGTTTTCCACCCACAACAAACCAAACACATATACACACACCTCTTGTCCATTTATTGAATAAGTACGCAAAACCAACTTATTAATATTTTAAATGAAAAAAAAAACCAAAACAAACATAATTAATAACAAATTAGCTAATTTTGTGTACAATGGCTTCAATATAGACCTCTTTAAAGTGCCTTCAAGAGTATTAATCCGATGTCTTGTTTCCATGCTCTTCTATATCTTTCTCTCCTCATCCGATCCGTCATCTCCAGATGCCGTTACCTGGCCACATGCAGCTGATGCAGCCGATGCTAAGACCGGCCATGGCTATCGGTCCCCATAGAGCCCTCATCGGGGGGAATATGATTAGAGCCGCCGGTGGCCCCGGGTTCAACGGCATGCCTGCAGGTGAGTGGATCAAAGTTCTACCAGTCATGAGAATGTCTTAGCCATGGTATGTAGGCTCTAGACATTAGTGACTCTTAGATCTAATGGGATCTTAATTCGCAAATTGGAAATCCATTTTAAACGATTTATGCATTTCTATTTTGATAGGTTTACTGCCCATGCAGGCGATAGGACTACCGGGAATGGCGGGTGGCTTACCACCAGGAGCAATGGCAATGCCCGGAATGGGCATGATGCTGCAAGGACATCCGAACATGCTGCAGATGATGCAGCCGCGATTTAGATGATGTCTGCCTGCAGCGCCGGGTCTGTTGCAGGCGCCAGCAGCCCAGCCGCCAACGCACCTGCAACCTCATTCTTCGCACGTGCAGCCTTCGCGGCCGTTTCCCAGGACCACGGCCGCTCTCCAGGCTCAGCCGCCGCTGTTGAGCCTGCCGCTGCCACTGCTTTTTCACGAGTGAGACAAGGATCATGCTTATAATTGCAAACAGCAAACAGCGCAAACAGCAAACTCGGCAAGCAAGTTGTTTTGAAAACTCCAACCAAAGTCAAGTTATTTTTCAATGTATAACAGTTTTTGAGACACAACACCCCCAACATACATACACCTTTCGGAAACACGCTACCCACTAATCAGCGGTTATGCCTAGTAAACCAGTCGATGTCATATATATATTTCGTTCATCTAAAGCACTCCATTCTAGCTTTTGTTCCGATCCAAATTGTTTAATTTTCCTAATCCGATCTTCTCGATGTGCGTGCATAAATACATCTTTTAGATATATTATTCGTGCTCTTTGTATAACACAATGTACCACACTGCTAAACCACACACACTAACACTATCCATCTAAAGCTACTTTGCTGTGCTGTAGATCTCTATCTTTTATCTGTATCTATATCTGTATAATCAACAAATTAATCGTTGACACTTAATCTATACAAATTGTTGTTTTTTAACATTCTTTTTTCTATTTTTTTAGTTTTATTTAGTGAGCATATATTTTAAACACAGCCACCCACACACACACCCAGGTTGTTTAATTATATCTCCTTCAAAACAAATGAAATCCGAAAAGAAAATCTTCGAAATCACACAAAAACCAAAACCAAAAAACCTGAACGCTCAAAGCTCTGGGTATGTTGACAATTGCCATAAGCAGCATTTTTGTGTTGTTTTTGTGTTATTCGTGCGTAATTTATACTTTTGATTCTTTCTGTCTATGTGAAATTCTCTGCAAACTGTTACAATATTATACAATTCATACAAGTTCTGTTTAGGCCCCTTGTTGTCTAGACCTTCGTTCATTCGTTCAGTTGCGGCTGACAAAAAGTAAGTCCTATCTTTTTTTACATAGTATATTTAACTATATACATACATATTTATAAAAATATTCAACATTTCTTTGTATCGTTTCTGTTCTTTTGGTATGTAATATATATTTGGTGTGTGTCATCGCTGACATCAGATCAGAGCAGGTATCTACATTCAATTTGTTTTTCCTTTTTTAATAATTATATATGCACATAAAATACTATCTATCCTAAGTCATTTGGTTATGGTTAATACTAAACAAAAACAACATTTGCAAAAAAAAAACCCCATTCCCGATTAAAACGCTATATAGCTTATAGAATTACCGGTAAGGAGGCATCTAGATAGGTATTTCTCACATGTTAGTAGTACACTCGATACATTGTTTCGGGATTGATATTGATGCTTTTGTTTTGTTGTTACCGTAGCGTTCTTCCAAAGTTCCCAGTTATTTAGCTTCCTTTCCAACACTTCAACCAGTTTTTGAACTAATAAAAAATAATACTCAAGAACTTCACTCTTCATAGACGCTCAGGCTTTAGTTAATCCAATGGTAATCCTATAAAAGTTTTTAGATAGCATAAGTAGTCCATTGACAGTTAACGAGTACTAGTCGTATCCTTTTGTTTTGTTATGTTTATTGAAATCAGCATGAATCAGATTGTTCTCCACGCCTCGAGTTTTTCGAAAACTCCTAACCCAGTGTAGCCTAGGGTAGTTAAACTTAGCACTCAGATCCCTGGAGAGCACCACTCGCAACACCAACTAACATTCACCCCTGTTTGAGTATACCTATAGTACACACATGTAACCCAACCATTTAACTATATATCTATCTATAAATACATGTATTAATGTAACTATACCGTGTAATTTAATCATAAGCAATGACAAGTGAAAAACTGGTGCCCAAGAAGATGCGATTGAATCCGAATAATTTCTCAATCGGGCCAGTTTAACGCAAACTTGATGTTGGACTTTTGTGTCTGGCAAATTAGCCGCACCGCCATCGGGATATCGCCGGCCATATCCAATTTCGTTGGCCCGGTTAGATAGTCCTGCGGTGTTAGAACGGCGTGCTTCAGACGAAAGTACCTCAATGCAAGACAGACAATCCCAGATTTGGTGGCAATACTCGTATACGATTCACACACTCCCCGACTAAACAAACTCGCATCTGTATACAGTCGTTATACTCGTACTCGTAGAATATATTCTCTCTCTCTGGTAACTGTATTGCGAAGACTTTGTAAATATTTGATGGACGCATTTCATTTTGTAGATTTGCTATTTACTTATCTCTAATATATCATTTTTGTCGGGAATGCAAATTTATTTAATCTTGTTTAAGAATATTATTTCTGGTTTCTAATTCTATTCAGACTTCTGAACCCTGAATAAGTGATACAAATCAAGAGATCTTAATTTAACAAGCTTTTTAAAATTATTTTGTTATGTTTTTACGATATTATTTTATAAAACTTGATTTATCAAAATTATTTTAAATACGCTTTTTTATTGTCAATTTAGGGCTGTGTTTATTTAGTTAATCGATACTTTTTAATTGAGTCAAATTAAATTGAATTTACTTTCATTTAAATCTATGTTTAGCTTGCATTTCCCGTCTGTAGTCAAGTTTTAGTATTCTTTTTGGTGGTGGTCATTAAAAATTATCCAAAATCTGTTTATTTAATTTCATATTACAAATTAATCTTTTAACCGTAAAATTCTATTCATGCAATGCACGCGTTCGTTTGAAAAGAGTACAGCTAAAAGGCTACAAGTTTTGTTAACATTTAATGGGCTTTAGGTGTTTTGCTGAACAGAAAAGAAAATTAAAATCTAAGATTTAAAATTAAGACCACCAATCTGTCTGTCTTTGCGCTGGGCGACACGCGAGTAGCTGAACAAATGGCAGTCACTGTAATACTAAACCCCACACACAACCGAACCAAGAGCGTAAAAGTCTGCTGCGTTCAGTCGAAAGCGTGTCACATTAATTTTGCTGAGCGAAGAGTCCCCTGCGTCCGTCCTAACCCCTTCCATCTATATCTATAAATAAGTGGTATATGTCTATCTTTGGATTATGTTTTGCATGCCCTGAAGAGTATGCCTTCCGACAACCAGTACAAGTTCGAACCGGACGCAGGCGATGTGCCGGAGTTTAGTCAGGATATATACGGCTTTGGCCAGTATATTGTAACTCTGGGGCGAGGGCACATCACAGTTATCGAACTAACTGTTGGACTTTTCGGTCCTTGTCTTGCGACCACTCAATCGTTATTTTCACACGCATAACACCACTATTATAACTTTTGATGTCAGACGAATCGCAATGCATATACGCGTCTTGTACAATCCACACAATCCGGCGGCAGAATCACCAACCACATCGATCACACCATTTCTCAGAGCATCCGAGTAAAGATGGATCCGAAAGAGATTTACGATAAAGTTTGTTTATACATTTTGTTTAGTGTTGATTTACTCATTTTTCAATATAAAATTAATCAATAATGCTTTGATAGTTGCAACTACTTTGTTGGGAAAGTATTTCAAGATCGAACAATTTTTAAACTAATAAAACGATAAGATTTTGTTTTTGCCAAAGATCTTTGAAGCTTTCGACCAAAGTTTTTTTTTATTAATTAATCTTTGAATAAATATAAATGTTTACCATGTTTATATTTTTCATAAGCTTTCAACCATTTTTGTTGCATTTACTCTTAACTAAAGCTTTCGGAATTAACAAATCAATTTTCCCTTATCCATTTCTGTTCGTTCAACAAATAATCACACAAATAATTAGCTAATGCCTTTACAATATTTAGTGCAAATGCATAAAATCAAAAACCAACAAATTTGCCTATGTTAAATCTTTTTTAATGTTGTAATGTAAATGAAAGATGCAAACACCAGGAAAGAAAACAAAAAAAATATATTTAGCATTCTTGTACGTAAAATGTTTTTACCAAAACGCAAACAAAAGTATGCAAACAGCAAGATATATAAGCAATTGTTTAAATTATTTTAAACTAAATAAAAGGCAAAAATTTATATTAGAAACAAAAAATGCATAATAATAATATTTCTAGTTTAATGTTTCGATTGTTCTCTATTCTTTTGAAATTAATTTATTGAAATTTTAATAAATCGAATAAAAATGAATACGCTTGATCTTTTTTCTTCGTGGAATGTTTTCAGATTGACGTTTGTATAAGCATATCTTATGCTGTGGTAGGCTGTGGTGAAGTTTCCTCTGTAGATATGAAAAATCCCACTACACTGTGATGACTCATGGGGCTATCCCCAGTGTCAGTAAGACAATCGGAAGTCGATTCATTCATGGAATAAACCTGGATATTTCTAGAAGTAGCTCATAGATGGAGGGTTCAAACAAATGAATTAAAATTTAATTTCAAATATTGATTAAAATACATAGGTAAACAGGGATAATTACTTGGACTTGGGCTTGTCTAATATCTTTTCGTATTTATGGGTCAGTCATAAATAAACAGTAGGCCCGTGATGTCTATAAGCAGTGTGGGACTATTTTCAGGGGCTTGTCAAACGCAGGGCCACCGTTGGAGATTTTAATGGCTGGATTAATATCGCCATGGCGTGGGAGCTATGCATATTATTTGTGGGATAGCCCAGGGAGCGTGCCAAAAATTACTTTAATTCAATTCCAACGTGCTAAGCCGTCTTAACGGCTGACTAATTCAAGTTCAGTCGAATTCCAAGAGAGCCGCATGGAGCGGGAACCACTCAACACTCACGCAGACCGGTCTCAAAAAGTTGACTTGACTTGCGGCTCAGTTGACTTTTAGTTTCATTTCAAGCCTCAAAGCTGGCGGTTGTGTGACCGCTGTTTTCGTGATCTATAAAAGGTGTGTTAAGTGCCGACCCGAACTGTTGACATTTGGTAAAGATTTGTCAAGAAAATCAAATAAACTCGGTGGTCATAAAACCGAAACCAGGGACAAGACACAATTGGTTGATCAACTGAACTCTGTTCACGTCAGTCAAGTATCAAAGTTTGCATAACTGAAGTTGGCCAAAAAGTGACTCCAACAAGCCATTCACAATTGGTTGTAACAAAAACTAAACAAAAACAAACCTAATAAAAATAAAATGTTAGGTAATGGTTGATAAAAATAGAAAAAAACCAAAAATAATAAATCAACGCCATTTTTATTGCAGTTAAACCTGATTAAAATCCATTAATTTGAGATAAACTTTTTAGTTAAATACTACTTGGACACGCCCACAATCAAAAAAAAAGAGGAAATACATTGAGAAAGTAGTTTTTAAAGTTAACTCACCAGAAAAACTGTTAACATCGGTGCACAAAACGTTAGTCATCCAAAAAATGCGCACATCATAAATAAAATATATTAGATGGAATAATCGAAGAGAATGGCGGTCAGCCAGAGTGTGCTCATCGAAATGCTGAAGGCTGGACTGCGAGACTCAAATGAATTTTGATGATCAGGTCGAGTATCTGAAGCACAAAGATCTTTCAGATACTCTAAAAATAAAGTAAAAGATTGAGTGAAACGCCTGACAACTTAGGAGAAAAAGAAAAAAAGGTTCAATTGGTTTCGTTAATTTTTTTTTGGTTAATGATTCAGCATATTATACATTGATATCTTTTGCAGTCTATAGTCAGTTGACTGAATCCCAAAATATAAATAGGGCATATAAATCGTTGGTGAACTTCCTCGAACACGTTCTGATCTTGTTGGATAGATAATGGACCTTAAGACTCGCTTTTAACCAGAAAAAAAATATTTGTTGTTTGGCAACTTAGCCAGAATTCGGCCGACTCGGAACAAACCACAGACAACTTTCAAATAACTAAGTGAACCAAAGACAAAGTGTGAGTCACGCGCAGAATAAGAAGGCCAAGTAAGGCGGCGGAGGCTGGGCTAAGTGACAAAATTGAGCGTAGTTGAACTTTATAATTTAAAAAATGTTAAGACATCTTAGATTTAAACTTATAAGATCTAGATTATATATACTTTAAAGGCACCACTATAGAAAAAGATTCGAATAGAGTCAATAGGGGCTAATATATAATATTATAATAATAATAATATATAATATTATAGGTAATAAATATTTTTTAAATTTATCAACGAAATTGGATAATATTTCTATTAAATCTTGCCTTATTAAATGTTCCCAATTGGTTTTTTTTTGTGAGTCTGATCTGGTTGAGTTTATGGCTTGAACAAGGCCGTTGCGGCTTAACGGAAGCTTTAATGAGTAGAGCAGCTAATTCTTAAATGATTTTTGTATTTTCAGTGAATTAATTTGAGCCATGCTGCGTCTCAGTCTTGGATTGCTGCTTTTGTGGGCGGTGGTCGCCCTGGGGAACGACAATCTTCGCGTGGCCTACGAGTGGCAGGAAATGGACTTCCAGTACGCCAGTTCGGAACAGAGATGGACGGCCATCGAGAAGGGCGAGTTCAAGCCGGCCAATGTGATACCCTTTGGCCTGGAGGTCGCCGGCCACCGACTCTTTGTCACTTTGCCCAGATGGCGGGCCGGAGTGCCGGCCTCGTTGGCCTACCTTGATCTTAATGGTAAGCGCATGAGTTGCATTGTTGCAGCTGCCACAGCATTTGGATTTAAATATAATTGCCGCTTGCAATTGCACTATGTGTGCCAAGAACTGATATGAGATCTCAAATCTCGGATCTCACAGCTCAGCAATTGTTTTATTTGCGTCTGACGGCACTGTCTGATCAACTTGACCATCCAAACAATTCCATTTCCTTTCGCACTTGCGCAATTAGCATGATAATTCCGCTCGGTGGCGTTATTAACAGCCTGAAAACAACCGCACACCACAAGTCGGTGCATACTGGATATATAAGTACATATATCATCTGGGTTTCAGTGTGGGAGTTGCGAAGTTGATTAACAAACACATATGGTCATAGCAAGTCCCCTCAATCTTGCAATACTCTTAAAGTCATGTCATTATATTATTTTAAATCAATAATAAATAGGTAACTTTCATTTATATGGTTTAAAATAGGGAATTATTTCATCCTATATATTAGCATACATTGAGAATGCATTCCAAAATGTGTAACTTAAAAAAGCATAGATACTAGTAATAACTATATAATGCTAATTTGAATATTTCTGTATAATTAGTATCTCAGTCTAAAACCATAAACAAAGTTACTTTACCTTTTACTGTCGCAGTACAAGGCAAGTGGAAACTTTTTTAGCCACAACTCAATCAGCTTATTAGCCAGTTAATCAGTTTGGACATGTGCAAATGAAAAGCTTCAGTGCGGATTACTCACCAACAGTTGAACAATGTACACACAAAATGTGTGTGCAATCCAATTAGCGGCATCCAAAACAGAAAGCAATGCAAATGACCAAAATTTAAATACAAGCTCAACAAATAAATTGACTGTTGACAAACGAGATCAATAAACCTTCAAATATATTCTAATATCTCAAAAACCAAATTAAAAATAAAATGGTTAACATTTAAATAATGCTATTTGATATATACATATGTCATTTATTTCTAAAGGATGAGTTTACTTTGTGGCCAAAAGTGAATAAATTGGTATTTGTTTATAAATGAAATTCTTAGTAAATTACCATACCTGAAGTATTTAAATCAATTAATTTAACTAGGATTTGAGAAGGTGTGATTCATGTGTCATCATATTGTGTCAATAATTATTTTTGATTCTTTATAGTATATTTATTTAAGTTCTTGTTATTTCCTCACAGATACTTCCACCAAGAGCCCCGTGTTGAAGCCCTTCCCCAGCTGGCAGGCTCACAATCTGCTAGAAGCCGAACCGGAGTTGGTTTCTCCTTTCAGAGTGCGAGCCGATCGCTGTGGACGTCTCTGGGTGCTGGATTCTCGGATCTCTGGAGTTCTGGAGAAGACCCAGATCTATGGAACAGCCCAGCTGCTGGTCTACGATCTGCACAATGATGATCTGCTGAGGCGTCACGTTCTTCCCGCCGGTCAATTGAAGCAGGGATCTTTGTTGGCCAATCTGGCAGTGGAGGACTCTGATTGTGAGAACACCTTCGCCTATGCTGCCGATTTGGGCAGTCCTGGTTTGGTGGTGTACTCTTGGAAAAACCAGGAATCGTGGCGAGTGCAGCACCATTTCTTCCACCCGGATCCGATGGCTGGCAACTTCAGCATCAAAGACATTGAATTCCAGTGGGATGATGGTCTATATGGGCTGGCTTTGTCGAAACCCTTGGAAACGGGCTACTCAACATTGTACTTCCATCCCCTCTGCTCCACCATGGAGTTCTCTGTGGACACTGGGATACTGCGAAACAAAACCCTGGCCACTTCGACGATGATCTATCGGGAGTTCAAGGTGCTGGGCTCGAGAGGCCCAAACACTCAGGCTGGAGCCGAGTTTTTGGATCCGGAGACCGGTGTCCTTTTCTACGCCCTGCCCAATCTCAATGAGGTCGCCTGCTGGCGCACGGCCACCGACTTTAGCCATAGCTCTCAGAGTCGCATCTTCAGGAGCAATGACACATTGATTTTCCCCAGTGACGTCAAGGTTGATGACCAGAAGCGTCTATGGGTACTTTCCAATAAGCTACCCGTCTTCATTTACGATGAATTGTATGCCGGTTCCATCAATTTTCGCATTTTAACTGCCAGTGTTCAAGACGCTATTAAGAACACCGCTTGTGAAATTAGAACTTCCCCTCTGCCGGATGTAATTAACAGGCTTGGGGACATACTAAACACTAATATCAAGGTGAAGGCGAATTCGGCTGCTTCTTTGAGTAACTTGAGCTCATTGATAATTGTTGGTTTGTGTTTGCTGATAAGCTACAGGATCTAAATCCCCAATACTGTACAAAAGAATTAACTTAGTAACTTTTCCGAGATTCTGTAACTCAAACTATTTTTTAAAACACCGAAAATGAACAAGTTTCTAAATATGAAAACCTTATTATCAAAACAAGAAAGGAAAGCTAACTTCGGGCGGAGCCGAAGTTGATATACCCTTGCAGAATACTCTGTAAATTATATTCTCCAAAATTATTCATATGATGCATTCTTAATACTCATAAAAAATCCCAACTTCCTAACCTTAAAAACACCAAAGTTATGGCATTTCCAATTGTTCAGTTATATGGCAGCTATAGGATATAGTCGGCCGATCCATATGAAATTTGGTAGGTCGGATTGATTAGCCAAATATAAAACCCATAGAAAATCCCAACTTCCTAACTTTACAAACACCAAAGTTATGACATTACCGATCAATCAGTTATATGGCAGCTATAGGATATAGTCGGCCGATCCTTATGAAATTTGGTAGGTCGGATTGATTAGCCAAATTTAAAACCCAAAGAAAATCCCAACTTCCTAACTTTACAAACACCAAAGTTATTGCATTTCCGATCAATCAGTTATATGGCAGCTATAGGATATAGTCGTCCGATCCTTATGAAATTTGGTAGGTCGGATTGATTAGCCAAATATAAAACACATAGAAAATCCCAGCTTCCTAACTTTACAAACACCAAAGTTATTTCATTTCCGATCAATCAGTTATATGGCAGCTATAGGATATAGTTGGCCGATCCCGGCCGTTCCGACTTATATACTGCGTGCAAAGGAAAGAAGGGTGTGTGCAAAGTTTCAATTCGATAGCTTTAAAACTGAGAGACTAGTTTGCGTAGAAACAGACAGACGGACAGACGGACAGACGGACAGACAGACGGACAGACGGACAGACGGACAGACGGACATGGCTATATCAACTCAGGAGGTGATCCTGATCAAGAATATATATACTTTATAGGGTCGGAGATGTCTCCTTCACTGCGTTGCACACTTTTGACCAAAATTATAATACCCTCTGCAAGGGTATAAAAAGGAAAGTTCTCTAACCGTTTTAAAAACTCTTCTGGTTTCTTAAGCGTACGAAATATATTTATTTGAGTGCATCTGTATTAAGTTAAGTTTTAGGTTAAGAAAACTGTAACGCTGTTCGTAATGTTGATTACATGTAAGAAGTGAACTTGAATAGTTTTTTTTACTTCCGAGTTATAATGGTAAACCAAGCCAGCTGGTTTTTCACTCAAAATTTGGTTGCCTTCTTCTCCTTCTTTGTATAAGCAATGGCTATATCGATGGTCTCATCGCTGGCTTGGGACTGACCATCTTCGGAATTTTTAGCCAATTTATCCTGCTCCTTCTGTTGCATCTTCTTAATGAATCCGCCACAGAAAAAGAGAGTCATCTGAAAGGGAATAAAGTATAAAAAAACATTATTAAGTTAAAAGTTGAACTTTCGTCATACGTGTTCTAGTATTCCTATCAATCCCAAAACAGATAGACCCAGCAGAAAACCAAGGGAACCACCCACATCCGCTATAAATTGGGTGGTGTCATAGCTGGGACGCTCCTCAATCATCTGCAAATGGTAAAATGTTCAATGAGTGTGCCATGCATCATATTAGACCCCTACCGATATCAGTTTTGTTGTGTAGTATATATAGATTTGGGTGCGGGGCTCTGGTTGGTTGAAGGCCTTGCGATTTTGTATGAAGGTCGTGTAGATCCTCGAGTGGCAAGGCTGAATGCAATCGCAGTCGAAGTCATCCTCATTTTCATATACACTGAACAAAAAAAACTATATTAGTACAAACAAATAATATTAATAACATGTTAGCCATACTCCTTATAATCCGATATTAATTTCCTTATCGAAACAGAATCGTTACAGGGTTCATTCTCAATTTCGTGCATCCAGGGTCCTGAACACTGCATATTATCAGCCAAATCCTGCCAGATGCACTGCTCACCACACTGAAAGGATTTTAATAATAAAACCTATAAAAGAATATAGTTACCGAGTCTACCTTCAAATCACTGTAATCCTCATCATTGGAACAAGCCTCTTCGCGGGTCTGCACATTGGAGAAGTATTGGGTTTGCAGCTTAATCTCGATATCCTCATTGACACTGACAAAAACATATTCCACACGCCCAGAACCCTTCATGTTGATCTCTACAATTAGTTAGGGAATTATGATAAATCCTTGAAAATTTGTTTATGTAATTACCTGTGAAGTTCTCCTTTTTATCGTGTATAAAGACATGCCAGCCGACTCCTCCTGTATCCACATCGCTGGTGGAAGTGGTCGACATGGAATGTTCCAGCATCAGGGAATAACCCACCGCTTTTGATACCCTCTTGGCGGGCTCCTTGGGTCGGAGGGTATAACAACGACCCATGTAAAAGTGTAGACTGCTGTTCACTTCCACATCTAAATATTGAGTATAGTAAGGGTTTAATTTAATAAAAATCAATTAAACTTACTGTTTGGATCTTCATTAAGTCCATAAAATACAAAGGTGTCGCCCATATCGTGTGTGCTATTTTCAAAAAACTCTTCCAGAGAAATCTCTCCAAAAGGATAGTTCATCCAGCAGGTTGCATACTTTGGATGGGGACAGGCACCGCCGGATAGTCTCTACAGAGAACGATGTTGGTTAAATATTTTGTGTATATTTTGTATATCCAACTACTATTTTCTTGATCCACTTACTGTAAGGACCTCCTCTTTATAGGGTGGTTCCCGACATATGGTGACCGCTGGCATATCGATGGTTTCGTTGAGGCTGTAGTAGGAATGAGTGGAGATGGGCGGATTGTAGAGCTTGGCGAAGCACTCGTACAACTGGACAATGACCACAATGCAGCAGGCGAAGAGCACCAGGTAGCGGATGAGCTTAGCTGGATCGCGGAAGAGCCAGGCCCGAGTCTCCGACCAGTAACCCATGGCGTGCGGAAAGTGGAAGTCGAGTGAGCTTGCTGGTTACCAGTTTCTGCCATGGTTGAGGGCCAATATCGTTGGGAACGCGGCCTGCTCGAATTCTCACAGCTGGTCAAGATAAGCCTAATATTGATTTACGTCCCGTGGTGGTGATAAAGCGCCATGAACCCATCGATGGGGACTATCTAGCAGGACAAGTGTATTGGCCGTGTCTGTGTCCATTGTTTGGAAAACATTGTAGTACCGCGAATCTAAGCGTAACATTACCAAAACATGTTGTTTATAATTGTCTATGCCTGGTGCAGATAGCCACGTTATATCTAAAGTATCTGTATCTGCAGCTGAAATCAGCGCCAATTTATGGTTTTATATCTGTCTGCTCACCGTCAGATGGCTACATGTGCAGAGGCAATTTTAAGTCATTCTTTATCGGGCTCAATCGTGTGGGATTTCAAATGCTCTCTCTCTTAAAAATAATTATTTAATAATTCCCAGCTTCTATAAAATGCCCAAGTCAGGAAACGTTTTGTATAATTTAAATACTATTAACAATTATTATATTAACATAATAACTACCTATAGAAAACCACCTAAGTTATTGCAATCATTAGATTTCATTCCGATGCTTAAAAATAGTTTTAATTTCTCTTCTGTTGAATCGGAGTTCTCGTTGCTGTCTTAAAAAATGTATATAAACTTAATAAAATAATCATTTAGCATTGCTTAAAAGATTATAATATTAACATTATTATATATATAACATTACATTTTGTCTGTTTTTACTTCAAAGATGTAAATACTGCAGTTGAGGTAAAAGTTGGAAATATATATAACTTATATTTTTTTATCATCGCAACCTCTAAGTTTTTAATTACCAGATATTAGCAAACACTCAACAGACTTCGTAAAGGAGCCTTAATAAACGAATTTGCTATACATTTTTCGTTTACTTATTAAAAAGCATAAATAGATCAAAATGTTGCTAACACTTTGACAACTTATTGATGACCAAATTCATACGACTACTCACTGCTTTGCAGTGCTCATAGTATTAAAACATTTGAAAAACAAATCTTAGTCAAAATAAATCCTTATATAAAGGCGATACCTTAGCCTATCATCAAAGCACCTCACACGGGCATAGTTTGACCTTATAGACAGCCAAAGCGAAATCTATGCAAACACCTAGCAGTACGCAGCCATTAGCGAGCCATGTATTTGGAAACTATATAAACAGATCGGGATATATAGCCAAAGCTTTCGGGCACAAACAAACAATGCGTGGTGGATCCAGCCAGATCGAGGAGAAGAACAGTACGAGACATTCCTCAGTTGTGACGTTAAATCAGAGCAGCAGAAACATCGCCCCAAACCGACCCACTACTATATATCCAAACCCCTATATACTTGCTATATACATGCTGGGAAAGTCAAAAAAAAAAAGGCAGCAAAAAAAAAAAAAAAAGTAGAAGAACTAATAAACAAAAAGAAACTTGCTACTAAAAATAGACAAATTGAAACATTTCATGAGATGAAAACACCAACACAACGTGGACATGGACGTGCTGACGAGCACGGCAAAAAATAAAGAAAAAAAAAGAGTGTTTCTTTACTGGTCGGGCACAGATACGATCGCATCAGATCTGTGTATCTGCTGTATCTGTGAGATATGTTGACGGACTTCTCGGTCCGCGTACCACACGGCGTATGCGTTCTGCGCCCGTGGATCCGTATAGTTAGTGCCCAGGACGCGGTCCCTGTATGCGAGTGTGTATCTAGTAAATTTTAAATTTTAGATACTCTCGTATACATAGAGAACTGCAGAGTAGAGCGAGGAGAACGCTTGCTTGTGTTGAACTTCTTCGCAACTAAATAGCTTTTGCTTTAAATATAGACCACAGCGGCAGCTATATTAAACGCATATGAAATGTTTTTTAGATTTAGTAGGTATGCTGGCTAGGTATATAGAGAATCCGCCATATATTCAACTAGTGCGAGGTCCTACACCAGATACATATATGAAGAACTCTACCTGCCGTTTCGTTATCTTATATTATCTGCCCCTAAAACTTTCAAATCTAAAATACATATTCGATCCGACCCACATGCATATGTTGTTCCTTCGCTTTTTGTGGAGTATGAAATATGTTTTAAAAATACATTTTGCTTGTCGCTCATAAATATCTAAAAACAAAATCGAAAAATACTTTTACATTTGGCTCGGTACTGACTCATTTCCATGCTGTCTATATAGCTGTACATGATTAATCAGACCGCATACACACATTATCCGCAGAGGCGTCTGAAGAGGGGGAAACTGCCCCCCCGGCCAAATGGAAAATAATTTCATTTCCCATTTTCACTCATCATTAATAAAAGTCTCGTCGCTATATAGACTTCGATTATTGCAATTCGCTGCACTTGAGTTGTGTAGTATGGCGGCTATATAGTCAATTCTTTGGTTGGCTGCCTGGGTACTTGGCTGCAGTCGCTTTAATTGGGTGACAAATGCTTACAGAAATAATTTTTAATGCTCCACACATCAGTGACTAATACTAAATGATTCGATTGGATTGCCTAATTAATTTGCGATAGATGTCATCTGCGTACAAATACGAGTTCATTTTTAAGTAGAGAAATATTCTGCGGATTGGTCTTGCATTATGCGTGTGCGATTTTCAATTGAGCCAAGGCAATTAATCATTTCAGACCACACGGGTCCACATCAACACCCAGCTGAGGGCTGGAAAACGTTTTCCGTTTTATAGATTGCATAAATACATAAACAAAATTGTGTATTGGAAAAAAATAAACATTAAGGCGATTGGTTTTAGGCACGAACCACAACATGTTTAGCATTATAGAAATAGTTTGCTCAGAATGATATCATATCTTTAGGAAAGTAGATCTTTAATAAACCTTAATAAAAATATAAAATATTTTTTAACTTTTTTTTTAATGTATTTTTTTTTTTATTTCCGAATTTTTAAAAGGTTTTTTTTATATCATATTTTTAAAATGAATTAAATGTTCTAGTTTTCTTTTTTATAACAAAGAAATATAATTTAACATATAAAGAACATCATTTATGTAGCTTACAAAGCATGTCCGTACATTAATGTCCGTACAAAAAAAAATATTTACTTTTTATTTGATCGTTTCATTTCGAACCAAACTTGATCTTAACAAAACTATCGAAAGTGTAAAAAAATACAACATTATTGCTAGTATTTATAATATTGAAAATAAAATGATCTTAATTTTTGAATCAAGTTATTTTGGTTCTTAATTTGTTTTGGGGAAGATTAAAAAAAATTGTAAGTGTTGAAATATGTATATACCTTTGTTAAGAATAAAATATTTATTGTTTTGATAAACCAATATAATATTTAACATGCGTCTTCAAAATATTATAAAGAATTTCAAAAAATGTTTAAATGTTTATTAGTGATCAATCAAAGAACAAAGAGCCCCGTCGCCAATCTATTAGCACATATATAAACTCTAGGATTGACAGTTGCAAGTGCAAATGTCATGTTTCCCTTCGATCGTTCCATTTCGTAAAGAATTTGCTGTATGTGCAATTACCAGATATTTTGCAGGATGGCCAGAGCCACTATTGCATAACCCACACGTAATGCAGGAAGTATTCATTCATTTGTCATGCCATGTGCTACCTGGCATCGCACCCCCCTTTCCCACTGTCCCCTCCTGCATCCTCCTTGCCTCGCTAAATCTTAAATCTTTTGCGAAATTAAGAGAGATCTCTCGGGTGGTATTGGCTGTGGGCATGGGAATTCGGATCGGTGCACCAGAGATGCGATGCAGATGCCGCCGAGTGCACGACGTTGACCGACGATCGGCGCTCGAGGATCACGGATTTCGGTTTGGGGGTTGGGGCTTGGGGATTGGGGACTGGGGAGCAACTGGCCGACGATGGATATTTTTATATCGACAATTTGGATGGGTTCCAATGCATTTAGACGAAAGTTATCTATAGACTAGGTATGTATTTTGGTCACGGTTGGCGTTTTTAAAATATTTTAATTTTATGTGAACCAGTTGGTTGTGCAGAATTTTTCGGGAATACCACTTGAGAAAAAAAATCGGACAGGGTTACTGATATTTTGAACAGAAACTGATTGGGCGGGAAACAATTGAATTAGGATGCACTTGCGCCCATATCTGAGCCAAAAACTTTTAAGTTGATCGATACAGTACGACTCAGAAATAAAGTTCAAGAACCATACTTGGGTACACGTAATTTTAGTTCTTTAATTATTCTTAAAGTATTTTATTTTATTTAAGTTTCTTGTGCTTTCTTTTAATAGTTACAAATTTATGTATATAGTTTACGTTTATAAAATGGTATATTTAAAATAAATAAAGATTTTGAGCACGCTAATAATTGGCGATATATGAAAAAAATTAAAAATAAACCACTTTTTAGGAAAAATGAATTATAAATAGTATTATTTTTTAAAGGGTTTTAATTTAATTTTAAAAGGGACATTAATGAACATTTTTAAAATGTATATAAAATGTTTTCCTGGGTCTTGCTCGAATATGGGTCAACTTTTGTGCTTATTAATGTGCTAATAATTTTTGAGCCTGCCACCGTTAATGATGATTTATGATCTGTCGTGCAAGTGAGCAGGAGTCTTATAGAAAAGGCATTTACAGATGATCCATTAGCCAACTTGGGGGTTCAGGTATACGCACTTCGAATGCGGTTGGTGCTTTACGCCTTCCCTGTGATCTGCGTTTGTGTCACAATCACCCCTCGAATCTTCCACCCTCCCCCCCAAAAAAAATGCCATTCTAAGTGCCATCTATTTGGCAGCGACTACGGGTTGAGCTCAGTGGTAATGGTGCTGCTGATCTTGGCGGTATTGGTGGTGCAGGTGCGGAGGAGGACCTCGCACATCGCAGTGTGGCGGCAGCTTTGAAATAGCCCATTGCAAGCAATAATTGTTGCTGCCTCGTGTAGACAAGCACCCCTTAACACCCGCCACCACCCTGAAAAATTTGAGGCACTGGGTGCCTAGTGCCAAAATACACAAGAAGAAGCATCAACATCTTGACACTAAAATGCAAAAATCGCTTTGCGTCAATGACTCAAAACGAAAATGTGTTTTTTTGCTTTTTAGTACAAATTGGGAGCAGTAGAATGGATTTGCTGTTGTTGCCTTGTGAACTGCATGAATGCAAAGTACTCATCAAGAATATTTTATTCCCCTGGGAGAGCCATTATTTACACTAAATGTTTATTCTTTATAAATACTAAACACATGTATATGGGTTTTCTTTCTTTATATTCTAGACCAACCTAACTTATTGCCTTGCATAAATGAAAAATAAATCCTAAAATAATATTGGCTCTTTTGCTAAATTGTTTTAAATGTCTAGTTTATATTTTTCTTGTATTTCGACCACAATTCTGGTCGACAATGTCACAGATTTAGTTTCAGAGACCTAGCAGAAATTATGATAATATTATATGTGAGAAACGAATTGAGAGCAGCATCCCAAACCCAAAAAATAAAGGCAAAAAACACTCACACTTGAATGAGAACTGAAACT